TCATGGAAGTCAATTCAGCGTCTATGTAGTAACGGCTCATACGCTTAACATTAGCAAAATATGAAAATTTAACTTATTACAATTATTATCTTTAATCAAACCTCTTGATATCATTAAATGATATTTTTTGCAATAAACGCCGCCTTATTTAACTATGCTATGCCATGTAAAATTACTGTGGCTTTACAAACAATACCAAGTTATCAAAACTATTTTATTTCATTTCAAATCGAAATACTATTTATTAAAGCATTTTAATAAGTGAGCTATAAATATCTTTTATTATACTCTGTGTATTTTTGCATATTACACAAAGATAGCTGTTTCATAAGCGTGATCAATCAAATAATAAAACAACTTAGACTGTGTGAGTTTGTATAACACATCATTAAAAGCGTATATATGTTATAAGTGGATAAAGCTGGAGAAACTACATGCTATGAACTTACCTGCATAAAGTTGCAAAATTCAATGCAAGTTGCACAAATTCCAGTAATACATCCAAGAAGATCAGGATCTGTTAGCATACACTCTTTTAGATAACTATCTTGTAAATCTTGATGGACACTGAGAACTTCATCAACGTTACATACCTAACAAAAAATCAGAAGAGTTTCAAATATAATTAAAATATAATTAGATTTAAAAACTTACTTTGCTCATTTTATTAATGAATGTTAACCAATTTGGTTCAATAACTTCAATCATCATATAATACTCCAAATGTTGAATACAATCTAACATTCTTTGCCTTAGTGAAAATGACTGCCTATATGCCATAGCTACTTCATGTGTGAAGGTTTTTGCTATTTTATTACTGATCCATACTCTACAATTTTTTGCAATTAAATTAATATAATAATTATAATCTTGCATCAATATTTATAAAAATTACAAGTTTATAACACACCGTCAATTTATATTTAATAAATGAAATTTTCTTACCTACACAGAATTCTTTCAATATATTTGCAATGTAACAAATGTCTAAATAACATTTGATAACAGGCAATTGCTTTTCTGTTTATAATTAATGAAACAGGCCACTTAACTTCATAATTGAATACAAATGCTTCTAACCCAGTTAATGTCTTTCCTGCTTGAAGACAATATTCTAAAAGACAAATAATCTTTATCGCTACTATTTATTATGATTATTAATTAATAAATATAAAAATATGTATTACCTTTTTCTTCTCGCGTTTGTATAGAAAGTATTCTAAACATTTGAAACTGAAGATCGTAAGGAAGAAGCTCTGGCTTTAAATCATCTTTGTACGGATCTAAATCAGCAGTAGACATACGTAAAGCAACTTCTAAAAGAGATGCTATACGATGAAGAACAATATCATACATATTCTTGTTCAATTCAGCCTCACACAAATTCATAAATTGGACCTTCAAATTTAATCACACATATTTATAAAATGTAAGATTATATAAACAATATACAAAACAATTTGTTCTATTAATTAATAAAATAAAAGTACCACAAAATCTCCTTGAGCTAAAAGGAAATAACTTTTCACGCTACGTAGTCTACCCATTAGATCATTTTCTTCCATTAAGACTTCTAATAAAGTTTTTGCTGCTTCTGAATATGCTCTATCTATTGCAGTAATATACTGTTGTCCTTTATGCTCATAAGTAAAAGGTTCTTGCTTACCCCACTTTATTGATTTTCCTATGAAAATATATATATATAATAAATTGAATAAAAAATCTATGCGAATATACAATTGTAAATCATTCAAAACACCTACCACATTGTCTGATTACATTAAAATATTTTCCAGTTCTAAGAATTGTTTGAGCATGATCGCTTAAAAATATAGGAATTCTTTCTGGTCTCATCGTATACCTTTTTTCCCAATAATCAGCAGAGTAATCTATAGGAAGTTCTTCTCGTTGAATAAGCTCATTATCTTCTACAAGAAACTGTTATACATATACATTATAAATAAGCAATAAATACTATAAAAATAATTTAAGAAAAAATCATACAATACATACTTCTTCATATGGATCACGAATTACACCTTTGTAAACCCATTTTTCTAATATTTGCATATAAGGAACACTAGCTGCATGGATTAAAAATAAACATAATTCTTTGGATTTGGGTTCACCACTGATGTTATTTGCTTGTTCATGAAGAAGACTTAATACTTTTCCACCTCGAGCATTTGCCTAGAAAGAAGACAAAATTATATCAATTAGAATATAAATAATATTTATTAAACTAAAGTTTTTCATATTTATATTAACCTTGCATATTGTGGATGTAATTTGTGATAGTATGGACATAGTAGACATAGTAGGTTGAATATAGAACCATAATTTCTGTAAATTGAGTTTGTTGCGAACGTGTTCCATTTCCAATTGTACAATAAATAACTGAAATTACGATATAAGATTACAATGAAATATTTATCATTAATATGTGATTATTTTATAATATTTCTATTATTTACCAAATAGTCTTTTAATAAACATCTTATAGCTCCCCTTAAGGCATGATTCACTTGTCCATCTTCCGATGAAACTTTTTCTTCAACGAATCTGATTGTCATTGAGTAATAAGATGCCAAAGGAAGTATTTGTTGAACCAATTGTTTGAATGATATTCCTAAATCAAAATAAGATTAATATTTTTCTGAAAATAATTACAATAACTAATATATAGAGTCTTACCAACATCAGATGATATACTGAATGTTCTGACACCATAAGGATTTGTCAAAGGTTCAGAAATAATGTAAGTTCCATCTATACCTTTCAAACAATATAAAACATCCCATAGGAGTACGGACTCTTGAGATACAATTGGTACGACTTCTACAAAATATAATTAATTATATGAAAAAAAATATTTTCCAACCTATATAATAAAATTATAAGCAATACAAGATTACAAACTTTGACATGGTCCTGTGTTTCCTTCGATATGAAAGTCCCAAGACATACGAGGCCTCTCTGTTATCCAATTATGTTTTAAGGCGGCATCACTTTTTTTAGTAACCGAAACAACTTGTTTATTCAATTTTCTTTCCCCTTCAACGGCAGCTTTTATTACATTTTTACAAATCTATAATATAGGAAATATTATTTATATTAAAATTGTGTATTTCAAGGAATAAAAAATGGATATATTAGGATTACAAAAAACCTGTGGTAAGTCTTCTTTCGTAATAGGAGAAATTTTGGGTGTAGTCATTGATGATGCAGTTCCATGTTTTGCCAAACAACTTCTTAATTCTTTATCCTCAGATATGTATTCCAAAAGTTGCATAAATGAGCCTAATAAATCCGTCCTGTAAAATATTATTCTTTACATATACTTTTCTAAATTATTGACTAATAAAAGATATTTTATTACAAATATAGGATTACTAACTTTTTAGATCTAAGTTCTTCATATTTTTGTACAAACAATTCTGGAAATGGTGAGGCCTTAGTTAAACGACGAACACAACTCTGTGAGGCAATAACATTTAAGGCACCTGTGGTACTGGTACTTTCTTTTTGCAATTTTTCTACAAACTTTTCTGGTGCAGCTGTGGACCTAATAAATATAATCAAACATAAAGATGTTATACAATATCTTGAAATAATTTTATTATAGCTTTATAATGAATATAAATATAATCTTTACAAACTGTATAGAAAGAAAAAGTTTATTCTCACCCTAATAAACCGATTAATTCCACTATTAAGTGATGCACTTTAAACTCACTCATTGCTACACATTAACAAATTTATTTCAAACTATTATCATATGTATCTTATAAAATTCAAAGAATTACTTTTACGTTCATGTAAAGAATTTAAAATCAATCTTCACAAAAGACGTCATTTTAAATATCAGTTATTTGTTTGTATTCACTTAGAAATATATACACCTACAATGCATCATTGTGCACAGATACAAATGCTATCTTGATTGAACAACGCCATCTACCAAATATAATAGTAAATGCGATGAAAGCATTTAAAATTTTCCCGCCATTTTCGTACGTGAATTTTTTCAAAATAATTCTAAGTTTTATAATACAATTATTTTAAAATTGTTAATTGTTATTCCATACATTTATGGGGTCATTAAAATGTTAATTAAATCGTTCTATATTTTATTGAATTTTTAGTTGTTAGATTTATTTATTTGTAATATAAATAAAATTTAATTATTCAATGTCTGTTATTAGTGTGGCATTTAAATTCTAAAATTAAAAGATTTTAACTTGATTTTTTAATTTGTATAGAGCTTAACTTGAATGAGGAGGGCCTTAAATGTTTTAAGCCTAACCCGAGGAGGGTATTAAATGACGCATATTATGTACTTAAAGTATCAGAAAATCGATAATATATTTTAGCGATATAATAACGAAATGACAAAAGTCAATACGGTTCAAGATCGATATCTATTTTCAATCTTATATTATTCTTTTTATACAAATTTTAATTAATTATTTATTTTCCGTATATTTCAATAATATCCTTATTAGGATTTACAAAGGTTTCATTCAATAGTTTTAAATAAAATATCTTATATTTATATATATATATATATATCTCAATGTAATGTTAAATTTAGTAGACGCTCAGATTTCGTGATATTTCGAGTTATTAAAGTTCATTATACTATTTAAAATGTGTTTAAGTGTCAGAATTGAAAAGTTTTCCAAGTTTTGTTGCACGATACTATTGTTAAAAATGATAAATAATTATAGCACATAAATGAAATATCACAGTAACAATCAAGAGTTTTTTTTACCATTGATCATTATTATATATAGATGATTCTTTTTGATATTTCGATGTAGCTGTTGTTTGCTCACACACAATTATAACATTCAAGCAAAAGGATCTTCCCCATTCATACTCTAAGCGTGGAATGACGTAAATAGTCCTATTCCAGCTGAATCGATCGAATGAACGAGTCTGCGTGTTAGCAGAGGCGCCATACGACATCCTCGTACGCTTCTTCTTCTTCTTCTTGACGAATTTACTTAATCGTAGCATTGCCGGTCGTGACGTTCATCCAAATCTTTCCTCAAGATAAGAGTCATTTCTTCGAGTAAGATCTAGTAAGTAGAAACTTTTTGTTTTCTTTTATAATAACACTTTTTTTTATATTATTATCTCTTACTAATCTTCTATCTTTCAATTATTGAAATCATCACTTATTTATCTTATAATATTTATGTATTTTATCGACCGATTGATACCCATACATTTTTCGATAACACCCTTTAGAAATGCATTTCTTCGAATTGTCAGTGTATATAAAATTTGCATCACGAAGTTTCTCTAATGATAAAAATAATTAAAAAGGATATATTAAAAAGAATAGAAAAGAAAAAATGAATATTCCATTAATTTTAGGATTCTCATAGATTTGTAAGATATCTAATATGCCGTCAGTACGACGGATGATTTTGGGGCACGTCATGTCTGGACTATATACAAAACTTAATCGTACGAAAAAATTGCAAGGTGATTTATTAGAAACACCGATGAAAAGATGTCTCTCTACTTTCGACATTACTTTGCTTGGTGAGTGTAAAGAATATTTTTTCCGAATAATTAATTATATTATTTGCAAAGAAATCATTTGCGCAATATACACAAATTTATTCTATGAAAAAGAACAAATAATGCGATTATGAATTTGTTACTTAAAAAAAAACATTCGTTTTTTTAAATTAATATATAATAATAATATGTTCTATACACAAATTACATTAGAATTTTTTACATGTTATCAGGTGTCGGGCATATGATCGGTGCCGGAATTTATGTTCTGACAGGAACGGTAGCTCATGATTTAGCTGGACCAGCTGTAATTCTTAGCTTTCTTCTAGCCGGTACAGCTTCTTTATTAGCTGCTTTATGTTATGCCGAATTTGGTGCTAAAGTACCTAAAGCTGGAAGTGCTTACGTTTATACTTACGTTTCTATCGGTGAATTTTGGGCCTTTGTTATCGGTTGGAATATAATATTGGAGCATATGATCGGTACGTCGGCTAATTTTCTTTTTACACATATTTTCAGTTCTCATGTTACAAATCAATCGAAATTAGGTGCTGCATCCGTGGCAAGAGCTTGGAGTGGTTACGTCGATTCCTTGGCAGGAGGAACATTCAGTAATTACACTCGTCGTTTAATGGGTGGATATACAATGGGAGAACCACTTGGGACAATGCCGGATATCTTGGCAAGCGGTTTATGTCTTGCTTATGCGATGCTCTTAACATTAGGAGTTAAATGTTCGGCAGCCGTAAATTCTCTTTTAACTTTGGTCAATCTAGCTGTTATGTTATTAACGATCGTTTTGGGAATTTATTACGCGGATATCACGAATTGGAGCAGTGAAAACGGTGGATTTTTTCCATATGGTTTCAGTGGTGTACTCGCTGGTGAGTCGTTGCTATTTTAAGAAAATCAAATGCGCTAATGAAATCATAACTGAAAATAGTTTCTTACCGAATTATATCAAATTGCAAATTTCCTTACTGTCTTTTATCATTTTATCATTTTCTTTTTGATTTCTTTCAGGCGCGGCAACGTGTTTTTATGCTTTCGTCGGTTTCGACTCAATCGCAACGTCCGGAGAAGAGGCAATCAATCCTGCAAAAAGTATTCCAATAGCAACCATGTTTTCGATGGCCATTGTCACCATTGGATATGTTATGGTCGGTGGTGTTCTTACTTTGATTGTACCTTACTGGAATATCAACCCTACTGCAGCACTTCCCGAAGCTTTTGCATCGAGGGGTATACCATGGGCTAAATATGTGATTAGGTGAGTCATAATTAAACATCTGGCTAATAAATAACATTTAAATTAATAGTATACTTTGTTCCAAAATATAAACAATATCAGAATCATAATAAAAATGGTATTCCTCGTAGCATTGGTGCACTTTGCGGAATGACAACGACTCTTTTCGGTTCACTCTTCTCTTTACCAAGAACGATGTATGCCATGGCAAACGATGGTCTTCTATTTGGTTTCCTCGGTCATATAAGCGATCGTACTCAAGTACCAGTTTTAAATCTGATGATCAGCGGACTTTTCAGTGCATTGATCGCTCTTCTTTTTGATTTACAACACTTGGTAGAGTTCATGTCTATTGGTACTTTCCTTGCGTATACAATCGTGTCAGCTAGTGTCATAGTACTCAGATATCGTCCAGAAAAAACTACACCTGCTGGTTCTACTGCTGGTACACCTAGCAGTCTAGCTTCACCACCTACAGAGGGTGCAGATTTTAATAGCGATTGCAACAGTATTGCATCAGCCGATGCTGAGGTATTTAATAATACAAAGTTCAATACAAAATTTGTTCTTTTTCATTTGATGTCAAAACATATTTAATATTTTCCTAGCTTTTGGATTCCAACGAGGGCGTTGGAAAATTGAAACCACGATACAGTTGGTTAGCCAATTTCTTAGGCAATTGCGAACCTGGAACAGCCGTGGCTATTGCTGTAACAATTTATACAGCAGCTAGTGCTACACTTTGCCCACTTTTAATACTTTTATTCCAATCATCTTTCAAATCGGCATGGAACAATTACTTTGCTTTGGTTAATGTGATCATTCTAATAATCGGTAGTAAGTTATAATCCTTTGAAATGACGCACTTGTCGTAGAAACATATTATGTCTAATTTAATATATTAATAATTTATTTACAGGTTTATTAGTGATCGGTGCACATCGACAAAATCCATCGAATGGTAAATTTCGTGTACCGATGGTACCATTGATTCCAGGTTTAAGCATCCTTTTCAATGTTGGTTTGATGTTTCATTTGTCATTATTAACTTGGTTACGATTTTTCGTCTGGATGATAGTTGGTAAGTTGATTAAGTTCTTTTCAATATTATTTATATTTTTTGTTAATGTTATTCTATATATTATCATTTTTATGTTTCTAGGAATGCTCATTTACTTCTTATATGGCATTCACTATAGTAAGGAAGCAGTTAGTCCAAATTCATATTCAGTTTTAATGGCTACATCGGAAGCAGTAAGAGGTGCTAAATGGGGTGCAATGTTACGCGTTAATCAAAAAGTTGACAAAGTACCTATTCTTGACGAAAACGAACATTAAGATTGTAGTATTACAGGTAAAAGGTTTCAAAAGTCATTTACAGTAAGTATAAATTTAGTAATTATGTGAATAAAAAGAAAGAAAGAGAGAGAGAGTAAAAGAAAAAAATTATGAATTACTTTGACGAATTTTCCAAGTCGTTTATAAAGAAAAAGTTATTTGATCGTAGATGAAATAAATTATCATTAATCGTATAAATGATTATTTTTTCATAGAAAGTTGAAAACTAACGATCAAAAAACTTGCGTTTTTAAAACATAAAGAAAATGATATCGTGCTTTTGTGGCACGATAAACTAGAATAAAAATTTTCGATGCATATATGAATATGACGAATTTGATTTTCTTTCGATAAAATTCTGAGCTCTTGTAGAATCGATTAGTATTCGTATACGGTTGTAAATAACGGTGCTTTAAGCGATGTATCGAAAGAATCTGTGTTTTAAGATCTCCTCGTACCAATTCGTGTAGATCAGCTTTGATGAGACTTTCAAATCTGTAAGACTGGTAATTTTTGCTAATACTTATCCTGACGAGCTTGCAGCGAATCTTTCAATATATATATATATATATATATATATATATATAAAATGTTATCAAACATTTAAACGTATTGTACAATAATTATACAAAAGATGGGATTATGAGAAAGCATATATATGTATATATATATGTTACAGTGATTAGTCTTCTTTATATTTTAGTTACGCACAAGTTTGTTGAACGGTACAAAACGTGCTTGTATTATCGATGATTTACTGTAATTATATTATAAATATTATTTATATTTAAATCTATATACGTATATATGTATATATATAACTGTAAATCTATATACAGAAAATCCCAGACTAAGTGATAAATATTTTTATTAGTTATTAATTTATTCATTGTAATTATATTATAAATTATTTTACGAACTAATGGGAGCACATCAAAATAATAAAAAAAAAGTTTATTTAAACATTTTTTTATTTTATTTTATTTTTACGTTGTAGCAATTGTGGATAAAAATATGGATGGAAAAAATAAAATAGTAATTGGTAAGATGTCTGCAGGCTTGTAATCAAACGCAAGATCAATTCGAACATCTCTTATAAAAGTAAGTAGAAAGAATTAGTTAGAAATGAAATCTGTTATAAGTCAAAAACTAAATCAAATAAGATTTATATTTGTATGAATTTATTTTATTTTTATTTTTTTTTTAAATTCATTCTAATCATCTCTAAAATATTTCCCGTTTATTCTGGGACACCCTATTTACAAGTTATTGTAAAAATGTCATATTATCGGATTTAACTTTTATGTTAGATGTAACAAACATTCTGATAAGAATTTTCATTTGAATATTATTACATATACGTAAACGTACAGATGTATGTAAGCCAAAACTTGAATGAAACATTTACGACAATGATTTAACAGCGAAATAAATAATAAATTATTTTTCATCGTATATAAGTACTCTTACGTTTGCATCTAAGGGCTGAGAAATGGTGCCTTGGGAACGAGTAGACTATTTATAAAAGTAAGATTTACGTATTTTAAAAAATGACAATAGATTTCGTCCGTAATACGACGATTATTAAGATTAAGATTACAATTGGATGTAATCGTGCTGTAATTCGCTATTTCCTTGGGCGTTTGGGGAAGGGAGAGGGCTAAACAAAATGAACGAATACTCTCCGTCTTGTGGGATAATGAAAGTAATATTTTTTGTATATAATAATATGTCTTTTTGTAAAAAAAAAAAAAAGAACAAATCTGTAGATATAACGTTACAGTACAAACTTCAATCAAAACTTAAGTTCGCTTTTTTCTTCCGATTAAAGAAAAATAATAATAATTAAAAAAAAAAAATAACGAAAGTAAAGCATCTCCCCTTCCTACGTCAATCAATAAAAAAAATGACTTACTTTTTTGTTACACTCAAAATTTGTTCCTTGAGATAATCAAAAACAAATTATATTCCGTTGCAAGTTTATTGTTCGTTCACAGATATTATTTATTTAATTATGATTGAGCCTACTATGAAATTTATTTTATAATAAATTCATTGATCGTATTATATAAATAATATATTATATTATCTACATGATTTCTTGCTTTGTAGATGTAAAACAGTTCATCTGTTATAACGAATATATTGAATCAACGTTGTACGTGGAAAAATGGTTATAATTAAATATGTATTTACTACCATCAAAGTGCCATAGCATTATACTTGTACTTTTCGCTTAGATGGTAGTGTAGCATAAAGATATAAACTTATCGAAATAGTTAATCGATATTAAAAGTTTAAGAGTTAATAAGATGAGGTATGAGTATGTATTTATAACGACATGTTATTATAGATTATTGTAGAAAGTTTACAAAAATAATGTAATCTGATTACTGTACAAATCGATATATGCAATATGATGTTACATGTAAGATAACTCAAACACGATAACATCCCCCATCTGCTGTTCTATGATATTAAAAGTCGTCGTACAATATTTCTATTACGTTTAAACACTACAAATTTTTGTTATTTCTATTTTTTGTTGACTTTTTTCTCGTCAAATTTACTTAATGTTATGCAGTTTGATAATACAAATTATGATTACACTAAGCTATATTACGTAAGAAAAAGAAGTGATTTAAATTATTCAGATCAAAATCAAATGATTGCTACATTATTCACGATGATAATTTCTTATCATTGTTAAAAATTCTTCAAATTTTAAACAAATATACTAATCTATTTGGATATCTTTGTTAACTGCATGTGTGTATAACTATAAATATGTATCGACATCACTGTCACTAAAAAGATCTATTATAAATATAATTGTAGCAAAGTACTAGTTATTTATAAATTATATTACTCGCGTATATTGATGACAAATTTGAATATTTAATTAAAAGAAGTAGAACAATTAAACAGGCTATTATTTGCATTTAATATTATTGTTATTTATTTACAATTTAAATATACTATTAAAAATGTTTAGAATTGCTGTTGCTATTAATCAAACATTTAGAATATTGTTTGCATTCAAATGAGTTGTGTTGAATAATAAAATCACGATAAAAGTCATATCACCTGAATAATATTAAACTTTGCTTTTCTAAACATAAAAGAAATACGATAATATAAAATGTCGAAGAAAATGATTAATTAACATTATGGTAGTTAAAGATTCGTTTAAATACGAATGATCGTATTTGATCAAGATTATTTATTCGTGTATTCGGTCGATCAAACAGTTTCCACGAGAGACGAAAATCATTTTTTATATTTATTTGAATCTTTTTAAATTTGTCAAAATGTTTTTGCGATTGATTTCCTTCATGATGATCCTTAGTGTCATCTTCGCTCGAAATATCCAACATGATGACGATCATGTATCCTCATCCGAAGTTCCGGATTGTTTCATGGAAAATCCATTGCATTACGTAATTATGTTTTTATATATATATATTACACATATAAATGTTTAATTTTTAAAATCTACATTTTTTGCTCTAAATTATCAATATTTTAATAATAAATTATTTATTCATTTCTTTTTAATTTTAGCACCGACGTGAAGCTATGTCAAATGAAATTGACAAATCATCATTAATGCCAATAACTGCAATCAAACATGATGATCATCATCCTTCGAAGATGTTATTGAAGAAAAGAGATATGATCGATCAAGATTTATATACAGCACCAAAACCTGGATGCTGTGGTTAAAAGTTGAATATTCAAAGAAACTAATTGGTAGGCTGTTTATAAAATATAGCACAAATAATACTTTTATGGCACTCGTGTCTTATTATATCAGAATTTCATTTGATGTTTTTTGAAATGATATAAATAATAATAATAATAATAATAAATAGGATATTATCAAACAATAGTAGTGATTGAAGTATGTTCCTTTCTCTAATTTTATTTTATCCCATATTCTTATGACATATGTAAATTATAATACGGTTTAAAACAATCGCTTTAATTATTAATAAATTACAGAGAAATACTTGTAAAATAGATAGATAATGTTGATTAATTTCATTAAAACATATAGTGATTCACTGGAAGAACATCAATGTTTTGTAGACTTATATATATATATTATACTTCAAAAAAGAAATATATACATATATATATTTCTTTTTTATAAGTTAACAAAATTTATAAATAAACTTACAACTAGAACTTCCATAATTTTTTTACAGACGAAATTTTGATTATTTTAAAATGAATCTTATATTTATAACATTTATTTTAAATTACAAAATTAATAAAATCAACTTGTTGAATTTGCTAAAAATGGGTACATTATTTTAGAAAACTTGTGCATATATAGATTATAGATTTGTAATTATTGATACAAGGTAATTATTACATAAAGCAAACAAAGAAACAAGGTGCATAGATTAATAAATACTGTTTCAGAATTTGTATTGTTTTTCATACTATTTTAAAATAAAAATGATAAAATTTTGTATTTTTATAATATATAAGACAAATTTTAATAAAATGGCAATGTAAATAATTTCCGTACAAAAAAGTTAAGTATGAAATTTTTTAATGATCATTATTTATTTCCATTACATAATTGCCATAACAAAATTAAAGTCTTTTATATTATTGTAAATCTTACGGAACATTGATCTATCAAAGGAATGTTGATAATTCAACACAAGCAACTTATTGTGCTTTAAATTATGTGTGAGGGCAATGTTTTATGTGTTTTCTATAATACTAAATCACCTCATTCATATTGTGCTATATGGTTTCATTTCATTGATGTAAAAATATATAATAAATTTATACAAGTATACATAATCATGTATTTAACTGTTAAACAAATTAATGAAAAGTTTTTTACATTCAGTTACCAGTTAATAAAATTGGAACACTTCATGAATGTGCAAAATGTAACGAATGCACATATACCACGTGTGGTAGATATATACGCATCAAGTCATCAAGTTATTTTCTAATAATTACAGGTACGGGATTAATGAATTATAGCACTGATACATTATGTTATCTATTTTGCCGAGTTAGACTAATTTTCCAAGCTGATATTGGTCTACTTTGTAAAAAGTCTATTTTTCGTTTACCCCACCTGAGCCAAGAGAATCCTATTATTAAGCAAAGTAAACTTTCTATGTAATAACCATCAAGTTGCATAATGCAAGTACCACCATCAGTATTTGTACATAACTGTAAAAAATTCAACTTTTCATTTATACATATCTGATAATAGTAACGTTGTCAAACATTTAAAAAAATAGAAATATGAAACATACCTCTTTTTCCGCAAGTGTGCTACAATCATTGGAAGCATCTGTACTACATTGTCTAAGTGTTAAAGGATCAACAAACCAAAGAGCTGCTGTTGCAGGCCAGTTTGCACCAAGATTACATAAAGTATTTAATAATGTCATGTAAGTACCTCCTACAGCGGGATCACTGACTTTTGCAAAGAATGCCATAGATGCTACAAACATGCAACTTGCAGATACCTAAAATAGAAGAAACAATATTATTAAATTTCATAATTAAGATTTAATATGTTTCAAAAAATAATTATTACCTGATGTATAAGATAAAGAACAATTAATATAATAAAATAATACATTGGAACTTGTCCATTATTTATAACATATGGTGTAACCCATACTAAACATGCTGCAATTAATCCAAAAGCAAGTCTGCAAGAGAAAAGATACTTGTAATAAATACTATATTTTTTGAGTAGTTTTAATATTTTACTATTAATTTAATTATAACCTATAGGGCATAGCTTTTATATATATGTCCATAGGTCTTGGACCAACAGTATATTTAGAAATAGCTAATGGTAAAAATATTTGTAGCGGAGTCATAGGTACTGCCATTAATGCAAACTTTTCTTTAGGTATACCAGCTTCTACTAATTTTAAACCTGTTACAGCATCGCAGGCAGAAAAACCAATCTGGAAAAGATAATGTATATATGTAACACACCCTATTTTTATGTATTACTTATATTTAATATTTAACAATTCAAACCTTTGCTGTCAACAAGAATATAATCGTTGTTTTTATTGACGGTAATTTAACAATATCCCAAAGTAATTTGTATGCATGTTTAATATTTGTATTTAACTCTTCATCTTTATCTACTTTCTCTTTATTTTCACCTTTTAAGAGAGCAATCAATGTTGTAGTAATGATAAATATCCAGCCCCAAAAGTATAAAAATCCTAAATAACAAACAGTATGTACATATAGAATAATGAAATAGGTTTAATCTTTGTAAAAATGCATTGCACCTTACCAGGTAAAGTTAACATTCCTTCATTTGATGGAACTGATCTTAAATAACCGTTGCAAAATTCAGCTGATTCCAATGCCATAAAAAGAACATAGCCTATGAAGTAACCAGCAGTTTGACCAACACTGTTACACGTTGACGCATATGCTACATTACATCTGAAAAATAAATAATTTCAAAAATAAAAATGACAATAAAAGAGAGAGAAGGATAGAAAGAAATGAACAAATGATATATTACCTTTTAAGCATTGTAAGAGCCCAACCGTCTACTACAATATCCTGTGTAGCAGCAAGTACGTTCAAAGCAAAAAATAATGCAGTCAGCATTTCAATATTTGGTTTTTCATGTTCTTTACCCAACCAATGATCAACATGACCGGATAGTACTAGCATAAACATACCCATCATATATTGGGTAGGAATTAACCATGTTTTCCTGCGTCCAAATTTTTCATAAAACACAGAATCTACTATTGGTGCCCAAAATAGTTTTAACGAAAAGGGCCAATGTACAAAACTGTATTCCGCCTAAAACAATAAAAAACAAACTGAATTTAGAAATGGTAAATCAAGAAATACTATATTATTGAGTAACATATGTTGATAATTTGAAATTTACCTGCTGCCTATAAGATACACCTCGGTTTTGCAATAACATAGGAATGGAGCCGCATAAACCGAGAGGTATACCTTGTAATAGATATAGAAAGAAAAGTATTGCTATATTTTTTTCATCACCACGTATATCAGCTTTGTCATGAATATGATTGTGTTCCGTGACACCTTCTTCGATAACATCATTCTTTTCAATTTTTCTTCTTAAATTTGTTCCCATTGTAGCAATTTAATGTATTAAAATTTTACATAGAAAAAAGGAACAACTTTTTAACGTGTTATTTTCAACGTTAAAAACACGATTATATCCTTTTGACTTACGTGCAACCTAAAAGTTAGACAAGTTTTTTAAATTGATTTACTATCGATAGGTTATACCAAATTTCATGTTTCGTGGTGGTATATATTTTGATTCTTTATATGCATATGAAAGCTATAACTTCATCAATATTATGCTTATAATAGGAATTAATTTATTTTGTTATGAAAATAAATAAATAATATATGACATACCTAATGCAAACATTTCTTATGCACGCCGCATATATAACCTTAAATAATACGCTGTTCAAGGCACTGACAGATCAACAATTTTTCTTTAAGGATCGAATTTAATTATAATTGTTTTATATTTTATTACTATAAATAAAATAAAATATTCTATTACGATAAATTCATGTATACGATGTCACGAACGAAACTTTCGTTACTGGTGACACGGTTACCGATTGTCATGTTACTTGCATAGAAGGACACGTCAGTTATATTTTGTTTTTTTTTTTCTTTTATCACGTGCGTATGTGTCCGACAAGGTTTATTCGCATCAAGCATGACAAGCGAATCATAAGACTTTTAACCAATCAAATGTTTTCATTAGCGATTACAATCGTCCTATCAACCAATAAAAATCTTTAAAAATTTAATTAATCCATGCAATTTTAGCTTATTCTTAGATTGCGATTTATCCAGTTAAACTGTACATAGTATACGTAAGTTAATAATTTATTAACAATAGGTGTGTATTCAGTAGCAAAAACTTGACATTTGACATTGTACGATCTTCTTAATAGATTTTATTTTATTAATGAGGTAAATAAAAAACGATGATTAATAAGAAGATAAGAAGAAGAAAAGAAAAGGAATCATATGATTACAGGTGTGTATTACATATTTACTAATCAATTTAATACTCTCATAATAAATCGAACAAGAAACAAATTTTATTGAAGAAACATTTTTCATATTATAAAAACTTACGAGATGTGATTGATTTAAGACAAAACTTTTGTTTATATTACTTAAATTAATTATTATGTCTGAAATCACAAGCGAATACTCCACAGTCTCCACTATTTGAACTTACGGCTAGAGCCATTTTAATTAATTCTTTAACACTATTATCTACAGTTTCTGCATTTAAAACATTATTCTGAATTCTGAAAAAAATAATGAATATGCAAAAATGATTAAAATTATACAAATACATTTAAATTTGTTTTATAATTTCTTACAATTTGTTTAATTGTATTTTTGTAATTTTTTCACCATGTTGACTTTTACTGACATCATTGTAATCAGTCATGTAATCTTTACGTATTTCACAAGTCAATCTCGCTACGCATTTCGGAGAAACATATTTTTTATTAGGAAACTTTTCGTTATTGTATGTCTAAAAAAAAAAGAAGATAAATATATGTAAAACTTAAAAAATTTTCTCGATGTATTAATCGTAATTAAGAAAAAGAAAAAGAAATTCGAATACTTGAGAGAAATTCGTCGTTATCATTTGTAAAACATAGTCCATAATGTCGTTATCCTCGGAAGTAATTTCAGAACGTTTTTTCCTACCGGAAATAATTCCAATCGGTAGAAGAACTGGATTTGTAGCTAAAGCTGCTGCAGCACCGATTAGAGCGACTCCTGCTAAAGCTTTTAAAGCAACGGCCTTCGAAATGAACACATGTAACACGTTATTACGAGCAATTATCTATTTTAATAGCTTTCTTATCATTATTAACATCAAATTATTCTAAATAATTACCTTTTGTGTTTGAATATTAGTTCCTGGATGTTGGGGGACATTGTTGTCAGGAATATCGGCTTCGTCAGGATTAAAATCATTGTCGTTTTCGAAAGTAGCTGTAATTCCATGCCCAGGTCGTGTACCACCATAACTACCATATCCACCATAACCATATCCGCCAGTACTTGCTGAACCATAACTTGGTCCTCCTGGTCTGTTTGAACTTTCACTTCCGTAATTAGGCCTTGGTCCATATCTGACATACAATGTGGTAATATGATAATCAATATTCGTTAAACTACGCGATTGGTTTAAGTGTTATTCATAATAATCCGAGATTTATTTAGTCCATAATTTATATAATAAATATTGACCTATCTCCTGTATGAGTACCACCATAAATTCCACTTCCACTATGGCTACCACCGTAATTTCCAACGTTTGGTCTTTCACCACCTATACTTGAACTCGTAGGTCGACTCGGAATTTGCCAACTATGTCTGAAATGTGATAAATTTGGTTAAATCCTAGAGTACAAATGAATCATTTTGTTCTAATTACCTGTCGACATTTCGGTCTCCGTACGAAGGAGAGTAATGACTATTTTCCGATGGAATCCTGTTGTAATCCGGTCGGGACGATGAACTCGAACCGTGTCTAGTACCGCAACAATTGGAACTTAGAGATTCAAAATATCTTATTACTTTTTACATATTATTTATAACTATAATTAAAATGAAATTTTATCTTTCGAATAGAAATAAAATGATTGTAGTAAGTTTTGAACGGAAATCAACATATTACATTCCAATAAATACGTCATGAAACAGGATATAAGTCTACTTAACTAAATTTTAAATGACACACTCGGTATATACATTTATATAAGTCTAAACATAAGAATATATATATAGATATGGATATGATCATCATTAAACTTATCTCTCGATTCCAAAGACGGTGATCCTCGAATAACATTTCTTACTTTTTTATCAGCATTTCTATCATCGGAAATATTTTCTTCATTATTCTTTGTCTGTAAAGCTTTTGAAGAATTTCTAGCTCGTACGATATTTGCATGAAGTCTATCTTCTATAAATTGCTTCTTTGAAAATTCGTCCTTTAAAGAATATTCGTTTTCTGCCGATAATCCTTGATAAACGATGACAAAGATAAAGAAAATCGGAAAATATCGTATAGCCATTATATTGGAAAACCGGTTTTTGATCAATCGAAACAAATAGTAATAATGGAGATTTTGATTCACTTCATTCACTTCTTAATGTCATCTTTAAAATTCTTTCAAAGGTATTCTTTCATTCGATAGGTCTTTGCACTAACAAGCGTAACGTCGTCACAGAACTGGCTCTCTAATTTGCTGAGTTTCACCCTTTTATAAAGTGGTCACGCATGGCATATTGTCACATATTCTTACAGGGAAGAGTCTATGTGAAATTACAACTTTCTGTTTTGCTTTTTATTTTATTTCTTTTTTTTTATTTTTTTTTTTTTTTGGTTCATAGAAAAATATTCCTCATTGTGTTGTAGAGTTTTATGAAATATAGGTATACATAAATTTGATAAATCAATAAAAAGAAATGTAACTTCTACGAACTTCTTCATTAATAACATGAAAAATGATTTTATCACGAGATGGTCCAGGTACATTACTTTCACTTCAGATTAATATCAAATAAATATTTGTTCTTTCCCGGAAGTTCGAGATGCGTATCGTCTTCACTTTTTCTTTTTATTTTCTCAACTTTCCCATTAGAAGTGCGACGATGAACTTAACCGTATCGTGTTTATTTATTTCGAGTAGGTGAAGTCAAGAATCGTATCAAACTCTTATTGTTAGCTCGACTACTAAAGTTTCATTAAATTATTGAAGTTTTTTTTTTTATTCGTTGTTCTTCTATGAACTGAACTTTCTCCAGGATAATTTTTTTAAGAATGTCGCAAGATTATCTTGAATTTCAATAAAATTCATAAATCAATATCCTAACTTCGATCAATCAAAATACTATTGATAATATAAATAACAAAAGCTTCATTTATATTTCGAATATAAGCTCGGTAAATTGTAGATTTTCCACAATTTCGTTTCCCTAATAGACGCAGTAGCAGCCATTACGAAACGCGGACAGTGAACAATTTGTTCCGCTTGGGTATTCGAAGTGTGCGGCTGACGGTCGAAATTGCAAAGGAACAATGTCGATGATGCTATAGCACGTTGTTACACCACACCTCCATATACTACGAAATTTTCTCTCATTGTTTGTTTAGTCAGAACTGCGAGGTCAAAAATAAGATGTTCAGATTTGAACGTTGTAAAAGTACGCTTGACGATTTCAGGATAATTGATGATTAAGTCATTTGACTGGTATTTTCCCTTTGTAATTTTATGACCTTTGACTAAGTAGAGTTACCTAATTGTAAAAATGTCGAATAGGCTCGAAAGTGAGTATAAAATGAATACTTTCAAATATAAATGAAAGAAATAGCTACGAATAATAAAAAGAACATAATTTACAATGTTGCAATGATGTAATCGTATTAAAACAAAATAATTTCATTATTATTAATTTGGAGCATTTATTTACTTCCAATTTCCGAACGATAAATCTATACTGTATCGGAAAGATAAATCAATAGTCTACGAAACTGGTTCAACGAGTATAAAAAAACTTGTTCCACGATCTTCTCGATGCTTGTGCAAAACGATGGAAATGCATAAAGCATTCTTTTACGTAGAATTTCATTCGGATACGGCAATAGCACAATTTCCGCAGGGCCAGAAACGAGATATATTATAGCCGGCGCTAGTAAATATGAACTTTTAGCGAGCTTTGAAAGAAAGAAAAGTTAGGGGACGGGAGGGAGTAGTAGGAGAAAGTAGTAGAAAGGAAAAAGTGAGTTGGTCCTACGGAAACGCAAATTTATTCTCCCTCAACTGGAAATTCGAAGACTCGGACGAATGAGATCTTTGAAAGAAGGCCTCTAAAAACAGAAAAAAAAATAAAAGAGAGAGAAAGAGAAAGAAAGAGAAAGAAAGAGAAAGAGAAAGGGCACGAGAACATTAGGGGGCTAATTTGAAGAAAGAAAAAAAAAGGGAGGGTAGGTTATCAATGGAATGGGAAGATTCGAAGGAAGAGAGACAAAGACGGATAAGGGTGGTTTGGGGGTGCAAACGTAGGGGTGAGAAGGTGGTAGCAACGAGAGAGGAGATAGAAGAACCGAGAGATCGCGGAATGGAGCGAAAGCAAAGTAATCAATACGCATTCACACGCGGTACCTCGTATCCCGTTTCTATGGGGACTGACGCCGACGCATGCGTTCCATCCACAATGTCATCCACGATGTCATCCACGATGTCATCGTGTTGGCATAGAACGTTCATAAACGGTGCCGAAGCAGTACCGTGCGGACCATTTTCTTTTCGAGCTCCGTTCTACACAAATATAACACGTGCATTTTCATTTAATTGTTCATTGTAAATTTATTTTCATTTGTTATTACATTAAATTATTGCTACAATTATAATGAATTGTATATTTTTTCTAATTTAATTTAATTTAATAACCCCTTTTTATTATAAATGTTCATGTGAATTATATGAGAAAGAGTAATACGAATTATTTTTGTTCTTTTTTTATTTACTTCTTTTTTTTCAATATTTTATTATTTCCAATTAAGAAACTTTTTCTCTTTTCTTCTTTCCCTTTAACGAGTTTTCCAACATACCTTTATTGTAAATCGAAATTTACACGCGTAATTGATATTTATGCAAATTACATTTTCATACGCTGACACATGTTGCTTGCGTACATCGACTTCTGCCGGAATAAGGAACATTGTAAGTCGATCCTTAGTTGATAACCTGATCTGATTACCAAATCTTGTCGGAAACTTTAAGTAGAGATTATTAAGACATAAGATATATCTCGTTTATGTTAGATTATTTTATTAAAAACTTTTAGCTATCGTAAACGTTTGTTATTTTTGTTTTTTATTTTTTTAATAGGATTTTATCAGTAAAGTAATATACCTTTCCCAGTACTTTACTAAAATAAAAGTAACGAACGATAACCACAGAGTAATTATGGTCTCGACCGTGACTAAGAAATCCCGATAAGGTATATCATACTAATTGACTGTCAAGAAGTTGACATTGTAAAGCTATACTTTTTTAAGGTTTTCTTTAAATTAACTTTGAAAGAAAATTATATAGAATCTTTTGAAAATTTCTTGATCTTGTTGTTGTTGATAAGATATAGAGAAAGAATACGTTTCATTTGGATCATCGTGAACCGATTTGAACAAGGTTCATTCGACTAGCGTATTTAACGATTCCCTCGACGATGGTCATCCTTGTCTCTCTGTATTTAACAAGAGGGTACAGTATGCGACGTTCGTCTCTCGGATGTTCACTCCCCCTAGTGATACGGGAGTATATAGGGGTGTAGGGGTATAGGGGGTGTTGGGAGAAGTAGAAGAGAACGCGAGGAGAAACGGAAAAGCAAGAGGAGGAGGAGGAGGAGGAGGAAGAGGAGAAAGGGAAAAAGAGACGTTTAGGGTCGCGGGGTGTTAGGGGGTTGGTTTTCCTTCGAAGCGCCTGCGTCAAGCCCCCGATGACGACTCGGCTAGGTAGGTGCTCGACCCGGACGCAGTACGGAGAAACTCTGCGAACACGTAGTGTCCGTTTCTCTTTGACACGAAAACTTTTCAGAGATATTCTCCCTTTCGATCGTGACTTAACGATCTCTGTTTTCCTTCATTTTCTTGACGATCATCGATAATAATAGTTGGTTCCAGTAACAACAATCTAACACTCGACTTAGGGAACTTTTTACATTACGCATGATCAATGCACCATCGAAAGATTTCCCAAGAGAGAAAGAGAAAGAGGGAGGGAGAAAGAGATCGGTTGAACCTTTGAAAGTGTCTGTCTCGAAAGGGTGCATTGCAGCTAATCAACTACTACTAATCTTCTAGATTTATTGGGATACATTGTTATCTTCTTTATTCGTGAATGGAACGCTCGAGTGACGCCACCATAAAGTTTAACAACCGGTGGTATGCTGTGTTGATTTTATTCGGACCCTTTGGACATTTGTTTACATCTTTAACAAAAATGATTATATTTGAACTTTCGAAGGAAACATAAGCTCGGACTTCATTAGATTATCTTCTTTTTTAAATTTCATTTTGATGTGCCTCGTATCGATGTGGAATTACAAAAGAGGAACTTTCATTCTTGGAAAATCTGGAAAAATTCTGATGAATGAATTACATTTAGATCGAGATGATACGCGTAAATATTGTCATGGTGTATGTTTTTAATATCTTCGAGGTTTAGTTAGTCGTGTCTTCTTTTCGGCATCGTTGCTTGCATGTGGGTCACAAGTTGCACACGACAAAGCTAACGGGATAGAGGGTTCACCGAGCTGAGGTAAGCCTGTTAAGTCCTACGTACATTCATTTTGACCAACACTCTTGTTAACCGTTATACCATCGAACCAGTTTAGCTGGGTTACGAAGATTTTCAGCATTGTCGATTCTTCGAAATATTAACTTGGACCGAAGGAGACGCATTATACGACAATCATTAAATCCTTTTTATTGATTTTATGTTTACAATTTTCCCGCCTTTGTTCTTCTTCGACTGATTTATTATATAAATAGGATATCTGAGGGTGTTATAGTTTAAAGGTGAGTTTTGTCACAAATTACAAAAAAAAAGACCATTTGGTTTTTTCATAAACAGATAACTGGACAAAAAAGTTTTGCATTAATATTTTGAATTTAATCTAAAACTCTGATGCAAACCTTACGTGAACCATAAGAACTTCCGACATCTTATGTATATATTTTTTTGTTTAAATTAATTTCTATTAAGATATTTATGTTTAAACTTTTTCAATTCATTTATGTTTACGTCACATACATGCTAAGTATTTGTAGTTTGAATTCTTAATGTCCTAAACCTCTCTTGCAAAATCAATATTCTTCAAGTTGATATCGATCAGATGTTAGATTTCAATCTATCGTAAAATTGATAGCCATTCGGTTGCAATAAAATTGATAGTTTAAATTTGGTTATATCTTCTCGAGGTCGATGAACTCCTTCAGTTGGTGTCGTAACATTATAAGATATAGAAATATTGGTATTATTTTTCTTTTATTACTAGTTTCTTAAAATAGGTTTTTTTCATCCTAATGGTCTTTTGTATCTAGGGCGATCTTCTTTTAACTTATGCAGAGTATAGGGTCTGGCTTTAAAGCACAAAGGGTCCACTAACGAGAAATACAACCCTGTTTGCATAAGAACCGGCTATTCTTTATAGGCTTAGGGTTCTCGATGGGTTCTTTGTGATAGAACGTTGCACTCTATCAAATTATTTATGATTTATTTTGAATAATTCTATCTATGAATGTATAACTAACAAAATTTTTCAAAAAGATAAATTATAAATCATAAGAGTAAGCAAGAAATAGTTTGATGATTTTTATTAGAAATATTTCTACGTGTAACAAAAGTATAAACTAGTTTAACTTTCAATAGATGTAGTCTAATTTCATTTATAGAAACCCAACTGATTTTAATACTCTTTTCAGTTGCATCAAAAGAATTAGCATGCTTGGATTACCGTTGTTAATCACATTGAGTTTACCCTTTTATATAAGGCTTCAACTATATTAGAAAATGTACGATCTATTAATACTCATAAGGTTAGAAATTTTCTATGATACCAAGGACACTTTTTCTTGTTTCTTTTTTTTATGATAGAAATGAAATAGAGAAGAAATAATTGTACAATGTAATATAACAATGTACACAATTACGGGGGTTTGTAGATTCCTTAGTTCAGAGTTGTTGGACCAGGAAATGAAACCGGAGACTGCTTTTATTTCAACATATCTACGAAACAATGGTCTGTGAAAATGAAAGTAATTAGTCGTACCTTCCACTTGTTCTCTTATGACACCTCTCATCAATATATGACCTAATTCTCATATTTCTAATACTGTAAAAATAAAATACAGTAAAGATAAAAGATATTTCTTTGTTTTGAAAGTTTGTATTACTGTTGTATAAACACGTAAATCGATCAATCGTCAACAAAATTAGTTGTCGTTAGTTGTCCATCCCTTTTGGTCTTATTCACCCTCCCGATAAACATTTGGTAATATTGGTTCAGGGTTGTTACATCAACCTTATGTTGAAGTTAGCTATATCCATGGATTGATACACACGGATTGAGAGAGAGAAGAGGGTGTCCGGATGAAAAGTACGACTTCAACCGCAAGTCACGTTTGTGACATGTTGTTCTTGTAAAGTTAAGTGCTATTCAATCAAAATATAAATCGAGAAACGATGTTATGCTAAATGTTCAAACTTAACGAATGTTTTTCTATTTTTTTTTTTTTTTATATGTTATAGATAATTAAAATTATTCATAAAAAATATATTTTTATTTTATATTTTTTTATTACATATTATATTATATATTATATATTATATAATTTTACTATTGATATTAAATATATTTTTGAATTCTTTATAAATACAACCTCGAGCATCGTAATTGTTAAAATTAGATTTAATATTATTTTTTTGTTACATGCAAGTAGTGCATATAAGTTTGAGATAAGAACGTAGTATAAGAAATTCTTATAATAAATTCTGAAATTTCCACGATGAATCGTTGTTTCAATGTTGGTTAATTTATACATGCATAATTAAATTATTTACGTATCCATGATGATGACTCGTTGTTATTGCATCGACGAAACTATAAATCAAGCTTATCCGATTTAAATCAAATGTTTGCATATCGTCATAAAGTGGACTTTAAACTATATACTCGATAAAAAATACAACGCGAATATCGTCACGCACATGCGAAATCATCGGTGTATTTTTCTTAAAGTAAGACGAGTCTACTTATGGAATCGTAACACGCATCGCATTCTAACCCATATAGGATTTTATTATCTTGAATATTATTTTATAAATAACCTTCTCTTTCTTATTTACTGGAAAAAGAAAACTTGGCCATCTTGATAAGCTGTTTTTTCATTCTAGCAACCATGACGCGTATAAACAAACAAAAAATTAAATTTTTTAGTAACCAACCAACCGGTAACAAGAATCTCTTTGGATACTTGATATTACGTTGAAAAAAAAAACGCTTTAATAATCTACATATTTGAAACACGAGTATAACGAATCAAATTTCACAACGATTAAAAAATAAAAAAATAAAAAAGATAAAAGATTTTTGTATATTTCGAAAATCTCTTGAACGTGAAAACGAATGACGACGGTTTACAGTAAATATATCGAATATATGTGTGTGCACGTAAAAACCCCAACTTGTAGTCCGTGAAATCACTGAAAAATTGCCGTAGCAAGCGTTTAATCCGAGCTTTCGCGGGAATCTGTGGACGAGAAGAAGGGAAAAGGGCGATAAAGGGCTATGGATCGACGTTCTAAAACTCACGAATGGAACGTTATCATCCATCTCGTTCCCTTTTCCTCCTTTGTGGATCGATAGAAGTCGTTCGATATAATTAGAAATAGTCGTGTGCAATAGCCATAAAAAATCCTTAAACTATGATAGTACCCTATGCATTGAATTCGTCAATCTATATAGGGAACCCTCGAATAAACCGATAAATGTGTGGCTCGAATAAATGTGTGTGTTTGTATGTGTATTCGATGTATTCGAGAAAAATCTGCGAGATAAAAAAGTTGCTGATTCAAGAAATTTCTTCTTCCATTTCTTTTATCGTAGATCTTTGTAAAACGAATGAATTTTTTTATTCAAATGTTTCTGTTCGTTGTAATAAATACAAATTTAAAGAGACGTAGAGATGTTATCGAAAAGAGAGAAAGAAATAACTGAGAGAGTCTCTTTCCATTCAATGGAGAGACAACAAATATTTTCTTGAATCGATAGAATTCAATGAACTTGAAATCTTACTTGAATTCACTAACTTTCGGTACTTTGAATGTATAAAGTATTTGTCTTTTGTGTGTCTTTGATTCAAGATTCGATAGATTTGACTTATACAGAGGGGTGATACTATTTGCAAGTGTATTCGAAATAGAATTCTATGGGATCAATAACTTCGTAGTATAATCAAATGATTATTTATGAATATTAATCCATTTGCATCATAAACGTATATATACGTGGCTGCGTTCGGCATTGAATCCAAATATTTAATTAATAAAATAACACACACACACTTCCTAACAATATAAAATCATAGAGACAAGCACCAATACTGATAATTGTTACACTGCTTAGAAGCAATGATGATTTGTTATTTTGCTTCTTTTTCTTATCTCCTTTTTTTTTTTTTACTTTTATACAATTTTACACCTAAATATATAATACAAATTTTTCGGTGATATGGGTCTTTTTTTCATATTTTCATATAATGCAAATGGGTTAATTATATTTCAATAAATATTTGAAACAAAATGAATTTAAATTACTCAAATAAATAGAAAATAAAATGCATAATATATACTTCCAATTAGTTCATTTTGGATGATTTATTATTTAGGAAAAACAAGTGCTTTTTAAAAAATTGGCTTGAAAAAAAAAGATATCCTTAAACCGCGAAATGGAACGTTTTAAAGTAAAACTTGTTCATAAGGTAATACTCAAGTCCCCTTGCATTACCAACAGTGTATCCCATCAAAGGAAATTGCGCTTATATGGTCGAGTAGCGGTGGCTCTTCTCTCTCTCTCTCTCTGTCAAGAACAATGGTGTATCGTTGTCACGCACTTGGCAAGATCCTTCCCCTTCGTAGACGTAGGAAAATACAACCCACGAAAGGAACATCGTGGGTGGTTGCAATCAGAAATTACGAGGACGAGTAAGAACGGTATAAGAAAGAAAAAGAGTCACAGTAAATGGGGTGGGGGGTGGAGCAGGGTGGGTTGGTTGTAAGAAAGAAAAAGAAAAAGAAAAAGGAAGGGAGGAAAAAGAATGAGAAAATTGTCTCTGACACTGTGTCACCCTTTTCAGAATTCGATGGAAGTTGTGTTCCCTCCTTGATACGACTCGAGTTAAGAAGAATCTTTCCCCTCTTTTGATAATACAACTTCGAATTGACGAAATCCCTTTGACGTCTACGTTCTTTTTCTACAAAACTATCTTAGTTTTTTTTACAATGTAAGATAGACAACATATAGATCGATAAAACCCAACTTACGTACACTACTTCTCGATGTACTTAAAAGCTAAAAGGCTGAAAGGGATATTGTTTTGGTAAAACGATCCTTGAAAAAGAAAACAAAAAGTACCAAACTAATGGAATCGGATTTGGAAAGTTCGTAGTATATTTACTTACTTGATGTATGTTTGATTTCACATGGGAAGAAAAGTAATTAAAGATAAAATAGATAATAGATATGTTTAATCATTTTTTATCAAAAGATTTTGTTTGGAAGAAAAGTCGTTCGATATTTTCTCGTTACAAAACTTCCCTTCTACTTATCTTTTTTTTTTTTTAATACGTGAAAAAAGACTATAATATCTGCACGATTTAGTATAGTAGTAGCTAGCGAAAAGAGCAGAGAAGAAGATGAGAAGTAGTAAAAAGCGTTCACATTTCGTGTTTAAAAAGCTAGGAAAATTTGTGTTATATACAAGTCCTATCGCACCCCCTTTTTAGTGTTGTTTCTTGTTTCCTCTTTTTTTCTACCTAGTGTAAAGAAAAAAGAAAGAAAAAAAGAGAGAAGAAAATGGAACGCGTGAAGGAAATAAAAAAATAAAAAAAAAAAATGCAGGCTCGAAAAACATAGCACGAGAGTAGAGAAGGCCGTTTGGATGGAAGTTGGTTCGGTCATTGTCGTCGTGTGCACGACTCGTAAGAGAGATTAAAAACTCCGTGCACTTTTGATGCATTTTTTTTCTTTTTTTTTTTTTTCCCCTCGACGAAGAGAACGACGCAAACGTGAAGGAAGAAACGATGACAACAACCGTATCAGTACATTGACAGCCATCTTTCTCTTTGTAAAATGTTTTATCGTTGGAAAATGTTTTAATGCAAACGTGATCGTTGCAACATGTTTGTCAAAGATTTTCCTTTTTTCGTCTATGTGTTTGAACTTTGTGAAATTTTTCAAAAAATATACGAGTATAACAAATCGCATTTTCCCTTTTGAATTTTTGTAGAACGTTTTCGAATATTTTTCAACGGAGAGAACAAATTTCATTCAGCGTTTGAGACTTACTTTTCGTCTATAAAAATTTTGTTATATTATCATTGTTAATATTATTATTATTATTTTATATATTTTCTAGGGTTGTTATTACATACATTCTTATTTAAATAGATAGAATATAAGCGTTTGTTTTTCTCGTCATATTGATTTTATTCACAATTAATGTGCAAATCAATGGCACTGTATTACGAATTTATAAATTGAAGATGAATTAAGTCGGCGGCAGTGGCAGCAACAGCAATAGCACCAGCATCTTTAGAAAGGTAGTCTACGTTTTTTACGGGTAACGCTCATTTACCCGTATATACACTAGGGTCTCCTCATTGTTTAAACTCTCTCAGAGGGATTCGTGAAACACCGGTACGACGTTTATTTCGAATTTCTGTAGATCGTAGCACGTAAACCGCAGGAAACGTGCGATCGTATATTTCCTTCTGTCTTTTTCCCTTCTCCTCATCCTCATCCTCATCCTCCTCCTCCTTTTCCTTCCTATCTTTCTCTCTCTTACTTCGTACCTAACACATTGGCATGGGCGTTCGCAAACTCAGTTTATCGTACCCTTCTTTGGTTCTTCCCCTTTCGTCACGAACAGAATTCCATACGTTGAAAATCGTATTTTGTGTATATCCGAACACCACCAGTAGGGTTCTATATTTTCAAAACATATTGTGATTCTAATCGCATATATTCGGGTACATATATACATATGCGTGTATCCGCATACACGTTAAAAAACAAGAAGAAATCTTTCGACAGAATTCGTTGCAAGTTCATTTATACGAAACTCGATTTCAATGTGCCTGAATTATAATTGAATTTCGTGAACGCGCGGATGCGTGAACACGTAGAAATGAATTCCAACAGAAGGTCCATCGAATATCACGTATTTTTCTCTTTTTTTGTTTTACACACATATACACATACTTTTGTAGATGTTTTTTCTCTCTAACATAAGTTAATCGAATAATTGAATTTAAACTACGTTAATCTTTGATTTTTAAATTTGTTGAACTTTTTGCCACGTTATCATTACATAATATTACATATTATTTTAACTTATAATAAAAATGATAAAGAAATAAAATTGAGTATTCCATCGGTGTAACGGTGGTTATAAATAATAGTCGTAATTTCTATGAAAAAGGAAGATCGTTTGTTTGACAGAAATAAAAATCGTCTACCTAACACACACACAACGAGGTAGCTTTGATAAATTCCATGGGGTACTCGAGACGAGAAAGTCGATTATCTCAAGAGACAGATGCGTTACCCCATGGAAGTGCGTAGAGGTAGAGAGGATAAAAGGGAAAATTAATGACGATCGTCACCTTTCTTCTTTACTGCATCCTTCAGTAATCAGTTACCACCTGATGTCGATGTATTAAATATTTAAGTTATATTATATTACATTATATACATATATAAAATATTAAAATTATATTATATTAAATTATTTATATAAGATATTAAAAATATATTAAATTAAAAAAATGATATATTAAGAGATTATATTAAAATATAAAATAATTGAAAATATATCATATTTTATTTAATCTTCCTCCTTATTTCTCTTGAGTGCATTCACTTGAAATTAATTAGAGTCGCGGTCTCGTTTAATCAATTAAGTGTACGACAATTGATGTCGATATCGAAGAGAGATATTACTCGGTGGTAATTTCCAATGATTCAAACCATTAGCAAATACGAATACTTTCCGATGATATTTAAGTAGACTGGAAATAAAGTTCGAACGCTTAAAGCATTCGAGAAACACGAGAGTAAATTATTTCGACAATTTTTTTATTTGTTGGTTAAAGTCAAACTACGAACGCATACTTCACAAAGTTTATCCCTCGATAGTGGAAAGTCGTGACGATGGGTATCCACCCTTTAGGGTGGATCAATCTTCTCTTTCATCCAACCGAATGAAATGGTCGAAGAAGAAAAAGAGAAAGAAAAAAAAAAGAAGAAAAAAAGTAGAGGGTGAATTAAGTAGGATCGAAATCGAGAAAGGAAAGGCAAATGGTCGGAAGCTGGCCAAGATCTTATCTAAAAATCTACCATCACTTGGTAGATATTATTATCTACATCTATTATCTGAATAATGCATCTGTTAAAGTGGAAAAAAGGAAAGAAAAAAAAACACAAAAAGAAAAATATCTACCATTAGTTTCTTAACACATCTTGCGTGAGTACTTTGCTACTTGCAAAGTTAAAAATTAAAAATATTTTTTTTTTTTATAAAATTTAAACTATTTTTTAGTTTTTATATTATAAATATATAAATAAAATATATAATAATTTTATAAATTATAATATAACTATAATATAATATAATTATAATATTATATAATTAAAATATATAATTATATTAATTTGTATTTACACAAAATTTATAATATTTTATTATAAAATAAAAATTATAATATAAATATAAAAATAATATTTAATAAATAAAACAACGACTTTAGCCGTTTCCTTGCAAGGTGTGTTAACTGTTGAAGATGTTTCGTAGTAGTGAAGTACGAGACAATATAACGTGTAGTAACTTTTCCACGTTTTAATGAGTACTTTAGTTAAAACTTTTCAATGTTGAAAGTCAATTGGGATATGTTCGTTAAGTTCATGTCTCAAGAGTCTCCGAGGTATTTCATTTTACGCTTAATCGCTTTGGTAATTTCATCATTTTTTTCTTTCCTTTTCCCTTATGTTAGTTTCCCCCATGGTGGTAGTGCATCGAGAAAGAAGAAGATCGTCGGAAGATATTTGTTCAGGATACGGATAAACACATTGCTAAGGCCGATCAATAATCGGTGGCGACTGTGTAAATATTTAGTTTCACATTATTCACCCTCAAGCACGACGAAAGACGCGACTCTACTACGTTACTTAGTATACGCATACCATACAAATAGAAACATAGAAGAAAATGGGGGAAAAAGGAAAGAAAAAAAATGAGAGAGTAATTAAATGCAATCTGTTTGATAAGAAACGGTATATCAAACGATTGCATAATCCTAGACGTAGTTTATCCATTTTTTTATCCATCATGTTTGACTAAAATGTTAAACTATTGTATTTTCTGTCAATTTGACGAGAGAATAGAAACACTAAATATAACACACTTGGTCAAATAACCGCGTCTTGTAATTTGTGAAAACATACGATGATAACGCATAAAATGCACATATTATTCATTATTAAATAAAAGAAAATATTGTTAGCTATCCAATTGGTTAACATATTATTTTAAATGAAGATATTATATATGCCGTTTTTTTTTTAACTGGTCATTTGACCACTTACGATTGAATGAAGTGTCGGTAGATTTAGTGTTCCACATATATGAAATAAATATAATATCTAACGTTATATAATAACTTTGATGGTTTTTAAACACATTTTCTTTCAAGTAGTACTATCGATAACTGCATTATCGTTGCACTGTCACGTTGATAAGAGATAATTTATGAACTTGGGCATTAAACGTCAATGTAGAATCATTTACAGCTACTGATTTATAATATCAATTTGGAAAATATTTGTAACCGAAGAAAATTAGATAAAATTGATTAAAAAAATAGAGAAGGTGAACATTTATTTCCATTAGTTTACCACTTAATCCATTACCATTTTTCTTTTTTTTTCTTTTTATAGAAAAAAATGTGGAGCTCGGTTACTGCAGCTGGTACAGAAAATGGACCTGCACCACCTTCTAGAAGTAAACACAGTGCAACGTTACTCGCTGGACATGTATATCTTCTTGGAGGGCGAAATGGAAATTTACCGCTCAAGGATCTTTGGCGATACAGTCTCGGTAAGTGAATCAATCTAATTTCCTTATTCTATTATCCTAATTAGAAGTTCAAGTTTAAATGTTGCATTAAATGTTATAATATGCTTACAATTCAAAATGCAAATAAAATACAGAAAATAATTATAACATTTAAAACATACATCTTTTACAAATGCAATACAATTTGTTGAATAGTAAAATAAAATACCAAATGCATTTATTTTACATTAAATAAAACATAAATGTTATTAAAAATCAGTATAACCATATAAAAATATTAACAACATAATTCTGACAAGCTGAGTATATTTATAAGAGTTCGGAAAAATCGTATAATTATGAAGGGTGCCGATGAATCGATGTTTCGAAGTACTCTCTCCGTTACGATACGCGAACACCGTATCTGACCAGCAGCAAACCCCATCGTTTTACCCCATGACGACGAGGGGTGCGCGATGGAATTTGAACGGGGTTCAGTCTGATCAATAATGCGCCATTATTAAAGCCCACGTATATCAAGTAAATCCGACGACGATACTCCACAATTACGGCTGTTTCCACGGAGATCAGACATAGGTGAATTAATTGCACTCTGACGCAATAATTAGCGGTCGGTGTTTGTGACGTTGCAAATTTCACGCTTACAGATGTATCATATGGTTATTGTTATTTATTCCAATTCGAGATTTTCCTTCAATCGTTACGATTAAAAATTATTCCAATTAATTATCAAAGCTTAAACACGCACACACTTCGTATATATAAATTTGTTTATTTATACATATTTTATTTTTTAACTTATCGTTAGACACTTTTATGGCACCTTTCTTTCCTAAACACAAAAATGTTCAATCTTTTATAAAAGTTATTATCTTTTAAAAGCTCAAAGTTCTGCTAGAATTGGATAAAACACAGTTTATCGGACCACCAGAGCTTTAAACGTATTCTCGATGGGTCCATTCGGTCAATATTGGTAGCTAGGTAGAATTATGAGATAGTATAGAGACTAATACATATACATGGCACGTATACACTTATACTATATTTCAAACTTATTGTCAGTGGAACGTCGACAAGCTTAATGCTGAGGCTGGTAATACTAAATAATGAGGTTTTACTTACGTTAGACGAACGTTTCTCGTATCTTGTGAGAATCTTCTATCTACGTAAATATTTGTAGGATACGAGAACTCAGTAAATATTCGACTGAGCGAGATATAAATGATAACAAATGAAAGACAAAGATAACGGGAAGAGAAAGAGAAGACTCCAGATCAAATATATTTTATATCTAGCATAAAATACATAAACGTAATTCATTGCAATTGTTATGTAAAGTTCAACGTAAATTGTAGCTACAATTTCAACGTTTTCAATAAATACGAGAAGATGTACAAGTACGTTCATTAATCGTGTAATTATATTAATTCATTAATTATCTAGCAAATGAATTTATTAAAAAATAAAAAAATTAGTTACGAATAAGAGAGAGAGAGAGAGAGAGAGAGAGAGAGAGAGAGAGAGATGTAATGCGAGTAAACGTTTACATAATTGTATCCATAATTATGAAAGTGGTGAAAGAATTACATTTGAACACTATATGAATTCTATATAATATTGAAATAACCAAACACCTAACAATATCGTAAAAATTATTACATTGAATTTATTTAATTTAAAATAATATGGTGTTGAAATAACTGATAAGTTTTGACTTTTGGTTAGACCACTTTCATAATTATGGGCACAATTATCGAAAAGTTCATGCATTGTAAATTTTTGAAAAAGAAAAAACATAGAATTTAGTTTGAAACGAGAGAATACAACGAACTTAGCAGTGACTCCTCTGTTAATCAGAAGGGGATTGTTCGACTGTAGAGGGTGTTTGAGGGAATATTAAAGCAGCATCAAAAGAATTGGACCGTAGCAGTTCGTCTCTCGAGCCGAAGTAATATCATGGGGATTGGTTGAATCATGCGACGAACGTTTTAAAAGCATAGGCGTTGTAGATACACTCGATCGTGCACAAATATTGTGATAACTTCGAGAGAACCACGAGAAGAGTACTTCATCCATATATATAGGTATATATAATGTTTTTGTTGCACCCTCACCTTCATAAAGGTAAAAAAAAGTTGAAAGAGGGGTTGGTTGGTTGGTTGATGGCGTCCAACCTATCAGGGACAAACGTCCCTTGTAACATGGATTTCAATCGAACTGTCTCTTCGTTTTCATAGCTGTCGATGGGTCTACACATGTATATACATAGTAAATATGTATAGATATATCTAGCTAAGGTATATACCATATATATATATATATATATATATATATACGAGCTGAAAATTGAAAAGCACGATGAATCTGCAATCTTAGCACGTTTTCATTGATTCATTGCGATCAACTCTTTCTTCGAGAAGAATATCAATTGACCGTAATGACTTTTTTTTCCTTTTTCATCTCGAGTACGTATTCTCGTTTAATTTTAAGCATCATATACTTGTCTGTTAAATTCAAGAACGTCTCATCTCATCTCATCTTCAAATTAGATATGAAACGGCAAGTTGGTCAATTAAAAAATGTTCAGCATTTAATAAAACAATATTTTTTAAATACTACTTGGTTATCTTAGAAAAAAAGAAATTAAGCATTCCATGCATAACACACATTACACAAAAATAATCAAATTTATTGTATGTTTTAGCATAAAAAGATCATTTTCAAAATAAACCATGATATTGTTCTATGACGGAATAGATACGACACGTGTACGTAATCAATGTCGGGCATCTCTAGTGGCATTTTACAAGAGTTGCTGCATACACTTAAAAAAGCACGTTATGGCTCTTACGTAAATTTTCTAGGCTTTGTTCTCGGGCACGTTTCGTTAGGACAGCTGAGTTTTTTTTCTACTCCCCAATGAAAATGTTAAAAAAAAAAAGAAAAAAAGGTCATCGCGATGCTGCCAAACTAAGCAATACGCGGTGCCAGATATGTCAGTATTGACAAAGACACGAATTCTTTTACTTTCTGATGGCCTATTCAATGCACCCATCAATCCTAATGACCTTTTTTTCCTTTGCTGACGTAATAAAGAATAGAAAGTTCAAGCATAAGTTAGTTTTTTTGTTTTGTTTTTAAAATAAGATTTACCTCATCAAATAAAACACCTTACTTTTGAAGCATCCGTAAACATTAAGTTTAATGTTCTTTCAAATATCACTCGTACTTCTCTCCTAGGTATTTCATCATTTTTTTTCTTTTTTTTTCATGCTTGCTCATCCCCCTACTTATATATAAAGCCTCAGGACACGAACAACCCTCTCCTTGCAATCTTTTTCTCTCTCTCTTTCTTTTTCCAGTAATATGGGAGTACTCACCATGGTGAAAATTTATTTCACCGTACCCAGATTGCAAGGGCGGGAAAAATCATTACATTTTTATTCTCTTGGAAATACCCAAAATTTGATTTACAAATAAATCATGTTTATGTCACTTATTTTTATTACAAATGATTTAGCAATGACAATGAAATATTATACGTAAATTGGTATTTTCAAGTTCCAAGATAAAAATACAAATTGTAAAATGGTTCACATCACAAAATTGATATATGTATATTTGTAAATTAATTATATGAACTTATTGTTATTATATTTTGTACCCCCTTTATATTTTACATATAATTATAAGACATTTATACTTCTTAGATTTGACAATATGTGAATGAAATAAGTCGCGGAAAGTAAGATTAAACACACATTAAAACCGTGCCTTTTTATTTATTTTATTTCTCAGCCGAAAGCAAGTGGGAAGAGTTACATCCTGGGGGAGAAAGGCCGCCGGCCCTTCAAGAACACAGTGCGGTAGCGTACAAGGACTGCCTTTACGTATTCGGTGGAGAACTAGGCTTTTCCGCGGGCACGGAAACACCACTTTGGGTCTACAATGTCAAGGTAAAACCTAAACCACAAATTATCTTCTTTTTCTTTCTACTATGATTTTATGACGATTACGAATTACACATTTTGAAATCGTATTAATTGTCAAGTAAATTTTGAATTACAAATTTTTGTTTTACAAAATAAATTGAATAAAATTTTTGTTTAAAAAATTTGTAATTGAAAATTTACTTGACAATCAATACGATTTCAAAATTTTTGTTTAAGAAATTTGTAATTTAAAATTTGAAAAACAAAATTTGATTGTTCATAATTTTTAAAACTCTTTCAAACTTTAAAAAGTTTCGTTATACGTTTCATCCAAATAAGGAAGGATTTAATAAAGATTTTAAGATGATAATTAAGTTAACTTGAATGATTGACGATAGAAATGACAAATCTCGTTCAATTAGATACAAAATTGCATTTGATAGTTAAGTATGGTTGTATCGAAATCGTTACTAAAAGATTGAATCGTGGTGAAGGTCTCATACGATACGATTTAACGAATCTACACAGTAGCCTCGAGGAAGTTCTCTCGACAATCTCAACTATCCAAGGGAGAGATTCAGCACCCCTCTCGATTCGATAAACGAGACGAAGGGCAATATTGGGTAACCACGATAGAAATTGATTGATAATATCACGCTTCGATACATTTTTGCACCGAAATTTCTGCAATATAACGTCCTTCAAAAATTGTTGATGGTCTTTTTTTTTTTTATTAACCCTTTGGCTACATTTGACGCACCATAACGTTCTGATACGTCATTCAAACTGAAGACGAGATTTAACTAAGTTCATTCTGGTTTATTTTAAAGTAATAAGTAATTGTTATATTAATATAATTAAATATTAATTTAATTATATTATTTTATTATAAATATAATATTAAATATTATTATTATATTATTATAGTATTATAGAGTATAATACTATATATAATATTATATATACAATATTTATAATATTATATAATATTGTATAATACTAACAATTATTTAGTTTATATTAATTAATATTCAATTATAATAATATAAAATTTTATAATATATAAATATATAAAATTATAAATTAAATATTATAATAATTAATTTTATATATATAATATTATATAAATAATTATTATATTATTTAATAATATATATTTATTATTATTTAAATTTATTAATTTATATTATATTTAATAATAAAATTATTAAAATTATAATATTTCAAAGTAATTTTCAAATAAATGTGTACCCAAAGGGTTAATCAAATTAAATGTAATCTTATATAAAAAAAATAATATAACAATAACTGATTACAATATATATAGAACACAAAAATGTTATAAATTATAAAGAAATAATTTAAAAAATAAGATGAAGAATTATTTAGAAATACATAAAAATTAGATACACGCGTGCATGACAGATTGACGATAATCGGATAAACCTAATCGCTAAGAGAGACAGGGATAGGAATAACTCTTGTTGCCCGTTTCACGTTCTTATTGTTCTCCCTACGGAGTCCTTGACACTTGCACGAAGGGATGTGTGAAGAAAACGATCTATCTGTCAGAGATTGTATATATATATACACCAAGATATTCGAACGAACGAAGGAAACCCAACAACCATCGTTGGCCCAATACGAAAGTCCCCCGATGATGGTTCTTTCTCTGTTGTTTCCATCGTAGTCTTTGGACTCCCGTGTCGTCTCTTGAAAAGCGAAATATGCTTTTGGGGTGGCTCGTGTAAAACTCCTTGTACCCGATGACGTTGCTATTGATTTAGCGGTTTCTCAAGGGTACACGAAACTTCTCCCTTTTCTCCTTCTCCTCCTCCTCCTTCTCCACTGCTTTATTTTCTCGTACATCATCATCATCCCTCTTTCCGTTCGTTCATTCGTTCATTCGTTCATCGAACAACCCTCTCTCGGTTCTCTCTTTTCTCTTTTTCCCTTTCGCTTACTTACGAGTAAGGATCGTTAAGGAAGAATTTTTTTTTTTTACTGGTATATATATACACGAGACTCACCCGTGCGAATCGTTGTTATCAAGAGAAATGGGAATAATGAGAAAGAAAGAGAAAGAGAGAGTGTGTGTAACCAAAGTATTTTTTGTTTCTTCTCATGAGATTAAAAAAAAATAACAACGCAAGTACAGTCAACTTCTTAATCATCATTATACCTTTTACCTATCGAGAAGAAAAGTCATTTGTCACTGTCACCTGTACACTGTCAGCACTAGCAATGTCTGGCCTAACATAGTCCCCTAAACACCTTTCCTAATGTTGCAGAATTTCTAACGAATGGAAAACACACATCGATATGTTTACAGTAATCGATCATCCTAAAGAGACCACTGTTGTCGAAATTCAAATGAGAAGTTCTGACGAGCGTTGGCGTAGCCTACAAACTAGAAGAGATGTCAGATGGTGGTTGGTTGTGGTGGTTGTGTGATGGTGGTTGTAGTGACATTTTCAGCCTTTACAAAACTCGACACGTCGTTCGATTCGTCGTACATGTTTGAGATTAAAACGGATAACTAGGATAACTATGAGAGAGCATTGTTTTTTACAAATGAAAAACAACCCTTTAGGAGAGAGGCGCTTCAAATTTCAATTTCACATTTTTATATTATATTTATTTATATTATATTATATAATTAATATTATATTTAATATAATAATAAAAATAAATATTAAAATAATATAATATAGTTTTAAATATTATATTATATAATTATATTGATTTATATTATTTTATTTATAATTAAAATTTTATTATTTTATATTATTTATTTATATTTTATATAAAAAGTAATAAAAGAGATTAGACATTTTGGATGAAACCATATTTTGTAGCAAATGTAAATAATCCATGGTTCTATTTCGCGAATGCATTATGAGACCAACCGGCCATTCGCGTATGGTGTGAAAGAAATTGGAGACGCCATAATCTAGGGGTGAGTTTTACGAGGGTACACGAGATAGGACGGGGATAAATGAGCTAGTGGCACTTCTCCCTCATCAACGAGCGACCACACACAGTTATCTCTTTTCACTCGATACGTTCGCAGACTCCATTCTTTTGTCTCACTATACTCTATTTTTTTTTATTTTTTTTTTTTTTATCCGACCAGTCATTTGTATATATATTTATATGTGTATGGTGCTATTGATTAAGAAGACTCATTGGAAAGATAACAGATATTTGCATCGTCATTAATGATTTAGAAAACAGAGAAAATTGCATCATTATGTAAAATATTTGGTTGGCAACTAAGTGATTGCAGATTTTGTCAATAGATGGCTTTTTAAAATCAGCAATGACTTAGTTGCCAACCTAATAGAATTTTATATGTATTTTAATAATTAATAACATATTAATATGTATTACATTAACATATATAATATAATTAATTAATTAATTATATATAATATAATTATAATTAATTAATATAATATTAGTTTATGTCAATTGTGTTACGCGATACCTATTTATCTTACTTACCTTATTTATTATTCAATTAATTGTTTTTCACGTCCACAAAATAAAATTTATACAAATTTTATATCATAGGGAAGTTGGACAAGTAAAAAAACATATTGTTTGATCAACAAGATGAATTTTTTTTTTTATTTTTTTCACCTGTCCAACTTTTCTATAATATAAAGTTAGTATTATTTATTAGCCTTTAATGTTTACGGGAAAACTTACAGTGTCATATTAAAGTTTCGCTAGAGTGAATACTGTGTTGCAAGAGGAGCACATTAAACCGAATGGATAAGCATCGAGCTAACTCGTGTGCATGCAGTCGTATGATACACACACGTTTTATAAGAAATGTATGGCTTACCTTCCACTAAGTTTAACGTGATATCATATTACGTATTAACTGCCTCAGGCCCAGATAGTTTCAAATTTGAAGTGAACATCTTCACTCATTTAAAAACCTTCGTCTTATAATAATAAACTTAAAGATTTTTTAATCGGTTACTTTGGTAATTAATTTGAGTTTTTAATTAGTGAAAAATGAAAATATTAGCTGCTTCTTTTCATTGTATTATTAAAATTCGTATTACGAACATACCGAACAAACCCGATTGGGGTTTGAAGGGTGAAGGGTGCTCTTTTTGTACCCGCGAGCCATTTCTTTTTTTCACTTTCTTTTTGCCCTTCGTTAAAATATACTGTCGTGTGCAGGATCACAGAAACACACATACACATATACATATATAATAGGTACATATTCTTCATAGTAGAACCCATATACAATTTTGTCACTTTGAATAATAGCATTCACTAAATTTGATATGTTATACACTCCTATTGTTTAACAAACAAAAAATCTAAGATATTACTATTATTATTATTATTATTATTAATTGGCATTAGAGGAACTAGAAAATTCATTGCCACAAATATCAAATTATAATATAATATATATTATATAATAATAATTTATATAATAATTATTATATAATATTAATAATGCAAAAATACTACGTCCAAGATAGGTATTTCAAAATTAGCAAGGAACAAATAAAAAAAATAAATAAATAAATGATTTAACGTGAAATTAATTGGCGGTTAAATTTAGAATTGGTTTTGGTTATCGACTCAGGATGCTAGGAGGCTCGAGAAAATGTGAAAAGTAGCTATACCGAGCTATCAACTTTAGGCACGTACTTTGAGTTACGTAATTACTTTCAGCACCCCCTAGTATACACTGCACAGCCTATGTACCCTCCTCCCTTATCGTTCCTTCTCTTCTCCTCTCCTCTCTTCTCTTCTCCTCTCTTCTCCTCTCCTCATCTTTCCCTCTTCTTTACCCTTCAACACACGCATAACCGTTTCGACGTACTTCCTCCTTCTTGATACGCTGGTCCATACCAACTGACTAGGGTTAAAAGACCCGTGATTGCCACTAGACATCAAAAGAACTACCTACGTCCGTTTTCCTCAAAAAGAGCGGAAACAAGAGAGGGGATGAACGTAAAGAAAGAGAAATAAAGTAAAATCCTGTAAAAGTAATCGTCGTTTTAACAGCTATTCCTAGAAATTGTGAAAAACATCCTCCAGTTAAGTAGATTAAAAGACAAGAAGTAAAGTATTCTTATATAGTTATTGAAATATTAGAAAAATAATAAATAAACTCGTAATATTTTTTCTTGACTTTACTCAAATTTTTTTCCCTTCTTCTTTCTTTCTCTTTCTCTCTCTCTCTCTCTCTCTCTCTAATCATATCATTTTACCCTCTTTCGTATAATAAAGAATCGCTTTCTCAGTAAGTAATACTCTCCCCTCGCTATGAAATCTTGTTAAGATCAACACAATCTTGAAATTTGATTGAAATATTTTTTGTCCTTGAAAAAAGAAAGAAATCAGAAAATAAATTAATGATTTTTATTATATACGAAAAAGTTTAACACTAAAACTACCGACAGTTGAGACGTACTTATCCCTACCAAAACCAGTCAAAATGAGTGGTCTTTAAAAAAGATGTAAAAATATAATATTTTTTTATTAATTAACTTATTATTATTTTACAAAAAGAACTCCATGTTCTCAGATCTTAAAAACTATATAATACTTATAATAATAACAATAAGTACAAGAATATTAAAATATTCTTGATACCAAATCAAGTCAAAGACCAACCAATCAAAATGACTGGTATGGTAGTTCTAGTGTTTTAAAACTATTCTTCAATACGTTTACTATTACGGAAATAGCTGTTAGAAAATAGTATTGTAGGTACATTAACGATTTCTATGCTCTATTTAGTATGGCTCTCTATGGTCGTTTATTCCAAAGTCCTCCGTTTTCTTCGTTCGCCAAGAGAGAAAGAGAGAGAGAGAAAGAGAGTTAAGATAGAATTGTTGATGTGCCTTGAATAACACGCGTTTACCACGCATGCCCGAATTTTCTACGAGAATGAACGACGGAAGATTCTCACAGCTTTTCCCATCGTTTATTGGTTTTAATATACTGCATAAAAACATATGAATATCTATCTAAATTTAGATCAAGCAAAAGGTACTCTTCTACTCTTTTTTCTCTGTAGAAAAAATGGAGCATAATGCATGTGTCCTACTTTCTCAGGGAATAAAAAAAAACATGTGAAACCTTCAAAAAAGCAAGTGCATAGTATTAAGAGTAGGAGAATTTATCATATAATATTATTATAATAATTATTTATTTAATAATTATAAAAATTCGCGCCTGTAAAAATGCAACCCTTCAGACACATTTTGAAAATGCTGCTTGCGAGCGCCATCTACTGGTACGGAAATTTTTTTCAGCCCAAACTGTTTATACACGTATGTATTACGAGTTACCTATCTTTCGGGCAGAAAAAATTCCGTCCCGATAGATGGCGCTCGCAAGCAACATTTTCAAGTGTGTCTGGAGGGTTTCATTCATACAGGCGCGCATTTTTATAATAAATTATTATTGTTTAATATAATTATTTGTTTGTTTTGTTTATTGCTACCTGTCGCTATTTCGTCGCTTCAGTTTTCAAATTACCCCCATTCTAAAGAAGTTTTAATAAAAAAAAAAAAAAAAGGAAATTAATAATAACATTTTAAAACAAAAGTTCGTTTCTTTCTCTTTTATTTTTTTATTTTTTATATATGTATGTATGTATATACAACATACGTAGATTTCAAATGGCAAAGACCTTGTAAAATTGACGCGAATTCTTTCGTTCGTATTCTTCTCGTGAAATAAAATGCTAAAAGGCCGACCAGCTTTTGCTTTGGAACCACGAACGAGTTTATATATTCATGGAAGCTTCGTGTCGTTTCTATGGAAACTATTCTCGACATTTCTCGGTGACTATGATCTTTAACGAATGTTTCTTAAATTCGAGAATATATATATACATATACATACATGCATATACGCGTAAATGTTCAGGTAGAGATTTAATGGTGACTCTGAAAAGGTCATCTACCCTTCCATTTCACGATTAACGTTTCACGTGCATAGTGTAAAGCATTTCGTAACTACGAGCTGTAACGATGTCTTACGCATGTTTCTTTAAAAAAACAAGTAGATGCGTAAAATGAAAGAAAGGAAGGGTTGGCGAGCAATCCTAACACGAATGTTCTTTTGTTTTTCATAATTGAGATAATAATAATTCTTTTTGTCAAATGATATTCGCAAACATTTTGTTCAATTTATTAAAGTGACAAAAATAATTAGTTAAAAAAAAAAAGAAAAAGATAATTACTACTATATTATGAAAAAATATTGTTTTATAAAATTGCAAGGGGTTTTTTGTTCGTATACGAATGAGGACAGAAGTAACTTCAATAATTACGTATAGTATCGTAAAACTCTCTTCTAAAGTAGCTTCCACAGTATTACAAAAATAAGCCCAGACGCAATTCAGACAGTGGAGCTTCCATTCATTCCACCTTCATAATCCGAGGGCATTTCAAGAGTTTCTCGCTGGCTTAGATAAAGAAAATAGGGGGAAAAAATGACGCATCCTCGGCTTTTAATAAACGAATTTTTACAAAATTCCAATGATGAAAAGGATTGAAGTTTCGTTCTGTTAATTGCGCTAATTTTGGTCTCTTTAAATTCAAAAAGTACATAAGTCAAGGACATACCACGAAAATGCTTTTTTCCTTGCGCTAACAGATCGTCAGGATAACTTTTTTATATTTTTATTAAATTTATAATTCTGTTTTATTTTTTATATCACTCTTTTGATAATTTTGAAATATTATTTTTGTGTCAAATTAATCTCGATGGTAAAGATTAAATCGACTGATTTAAATAATAATTTGTTTGTTTATTTTCAGACGAATACGTGGAGAAAGGTTCGAGCTCAACGAGGTTGCGTGGTTCCTAGAGGTCGAAGAGGTCATACGGCCTTGGTCCATCGAGGTCAAATGCTAATCTATGGTGGTTATCAAGACTTACGTGGTAGCTCTCCCGAATTATGGGCTTTCCATTTCGGTGAATGCAAACTATATTTTAAACAAGATATGAAAATATATACATTAAAAAACGACAAGTTATACTAATTTTCTTTGAAATTTATAGAAACAGAATCTTGGCATCTATTATCATCCAGCGAAAGTGGTCCAGCTGCGAGACACAAACACTCAGCCGTTTTACACGGAGATGCTATGTATATTTATGGTGGTATGACGGATTTACAAGAGAGGAGCGATTGTTGGCGATGGGACGTTAATACTGCATCTTGGTTAATGCTGAAGAACAAACCTGGACCAGGTCCACTTCATGGTCATGCTGCTTGCAGACTCCCAAGTTGCATGTTAATTTTTGGCGGAGAAAGTGGTGGTCTCGCAACTAACGAACTTTGGAGGTTTCATTTTGGTAAGAAACATGAAATAAATTAAATGCATATACTTTGAGTTTTGTGTAAATTTTTTGAGCGTTATTACAGGTACGGAAACTTGGGAGAAATTATCTGTACCAGGGCCAAAACCCCAACCTAGAGCAGAGAGCGTTGCCTTGGCGGTATCCGAGTTATTGATTCGTGGTACCACTAGCGATAATCCTAAGCCAAAATTAAAAAATCAAAGAACTAGATTATGTGCTAATAGAATATCACCGAACGAAGCATCTACGAGGCCTAGTTTTCTCAAAGAAATCTCCAAATTGTCGCAGATCAATCTGTCGAGATTGAGTCATCCAACCAAGTGTAGTTATTCTGTACTTAGTGGACAAGACGATAATGAGGAAAGTCCTCAAGAGGTAATATTAATTTCATTTTTTGTTATTTAAATTATTTATTACAAATTGATGTTGTATGTCTCTAACTGTTTATTTTGTACCGAGCAAGTAGATTGAGCTGTAAATGTAAATGAATATTTGTTGCAATAAAAAAACGTAGGCTGAATGAGTGAACTGAGCCTGTACGCAGGCGAATACGTATTATCCATTTCAGCAAGTGGACGTAGAAGCCGTAGAACCTTCAATGGGAATGGTAAAGTCTCGAAGTGCCAATACCTTAGCTCGTAGAAGACAGAAACCGCCAGAAACAACGTCTAAAGCAACCGAATCTAGCAATAGTAACAATAATACTGGCAGTGGTATGACCAGGGATCCTATTTCGGTGCCAAATTTTCGAGCTTTGACGTTACCAACACCGGTACTAACACCTGTGGAGGCAGCAAGACTAGTTTTTGTTGATCCAGACGAGTTGAGCGATAGCGATGAGAAAAAAGAACCACCTACTTCAAGACTGATCGAAGTTCAAGAGGAAAGGAGGTTGGTACAGTCTTCTTTAATAATGTTTTATGTATAATTAATGATAAATTCATAATCGATACAATCCGCAGAGATTTTTCTTCCATACATCACACTTGTCAACCAACGCGAGGAGAAAGTTATAGCTCTCATCTATATGAGGCAGCTATTCAAACTCCAAAGACACCAACCACAGCAAAAATACCAACTTCAGCATCAGTGAGATTCGCTGACCTGGAAGAAGGCGAGGAATCAACGTCGGATTATGCAAGCATCGAAGCGAGGAGTCCGGGTGATCCCTTAGCTGACGACGACTGGCCTTCGAATAGAAAATCCAAGCAATTACGTGCTATTGTCAGTTCGACAACGATACGTGAGGGTCAATTTGGTTTTTGTAATCCAAATTATTTGGGTTTGGACGAGAGTAGAAATCATCATCATCAGCATTATCATCATCATCACCACCATCATCACCATCATCAACAACAACAACAACAACAACAACAAACACAACAACAACAAGACGGAAAATATGCGAAGATGTTGAACAGTCCACCCGATAGTGTTTTGGAAGATGAACCTGGCAGATCAGCCTCGCAAACATTTGCTGAACTTCTTGAACTTCAAGAGATTAGAAGGATTCCTAGAGCACCGCCTAAGAGTTTACCTTTAGGCTCACCCTCGAGACGAGCCGTTAGTGCCTCCAGAGCCGAAAGACAAAGGGCTAAGGTTGCTGCTAATGATGGAAACGACTCAGGAACACCTTCGTACGGACCTGCACCTTTATACGTCTTTTTAGTTGGTGGTAAAGAAAAGGGTCAGGTCACCGTTTTTGCTAGACCTGTCTCCCTCTGGAAGTTGCAACTAGCACCACATATCTTTTAGAAATACCTAGGGGATCCGATGATCAATTCGATTATCGATCCAACGATAATTATATCTTCTTTATTTAATAACTTGATTTCATCCTTCGATACTTTATTTCATTTCATTTCTATTTCGTTCAATGAAAAATCTTGGTCCTCCTGTTTTTTTCCTTTGTACATTTGTGAAGATAGCTCATTCGTGTATATAATGTTTTTTAACGTTCGTCAATTAGTTCTCTTTAGCACACTTATTGCATATGTTTATTATTAATAATATAGTATTCGAAAGATATATTAAATATGAAAGATTTCACGTTGTCTTTGAGATCTTTACATTTCTCGAACATTTTTCAAGTTAAAAGGAAAGAAAATATCGAATTCGAAGACTTTAACAATCAAACGTAATGTAGTATTTATTTAAAAAAAAAAAAAAAGAAAAAAATTACTAACGTCATGCCTGTAGTTGGTAACGTCTTTTATAACGCATTATTATATCAATACTGTGAAAAAAAAACTATTCGAGCTTATCTACGTCGAATTTTTTTAGACTTTTTCTCTCGACATTATTTTAATGATGTTCGAGACGATTTCCTTTAGCAAAGAAACGTAAATTTTGTAGAATTATTTTTGGACGTACGTGTAATGAATATTATAACTTATTGTTAATGCAAAATGAACGATTTAAAAACGTGATTGAAGCGTTTAAAAAACGCACTATGATCGATATCGATTACAAAGATCTATCGCTGTTTTTGATGACAGTATTTTTTTGTGTCATACTCGAAGTCATCCGAAAGAAATTGATTACTAAAAATCTTAAACGTCTGGTTTTTGATTCTTTCGAAATAAGAATACTAAATACAGAAAGAGAGAGAGAAAAAAAACAAAAATGCATAGCGTAGTAATTAAATTAAATTTTGTATTTGTCTTATCGCGATAGATAGATAGATAGATAGATAGATAGATAGATAGACAGATAGATAGAGAAATAAATAGGTAGATAGATAGATGAACCACATGTACCATGTATGCATTTAACGTTAGTGTAGATAATTCAAATTATCCTAAGTTTCTTTTTGTTATCCTTGATTATTATCCTCGCTAAAAATGATTTCGTTTCTAAAATATAATTCATCGGTTTATCTAACGACTCAGTAACATATCCACAGTATGTATATTGATTTGCTTGACGAAATAAAAGTGCAATATTTATAGGGACTATGTTTAAAAGATATTCCCATATTTTGTTCTATTTTCAAATCGTCAAGTTTTTTATTTTTTACCTTGTTAGAACAATATGTAATAAAATTAATACTCGTAAATATTATACTTATTAATTCAGAGTTCATATTGAACCGTTCGATACAGTAAAAGGATGTTTCAAACGTAAATTTGTATTAAACGATCAAGACCGATCTCCCAAATCAAAACGCAGATCAAGCCGAAGCAACAAAATTTTCCTTACGATTCGCATTAAATTTATTATAATAATTACACATGATGCAATTTTCTCATGAGTTAGTCTTTTACATCATCCTTAACATCGAGCATACCGAAATAAAGTGATACGTAATAGAAAATTGTTTGAAATTGACTCGCTTTATCTGCGTTTTAGTATCATGGAATGTGAACTAAATGTACGTAGACTATAATGTTAGTTTTAATATTAGATAATAAGCTTAAGATAGGCTCAAAGATCTTGGGTTTAATTGCAATCTATTCTCGGTTGTATTCACAGTGGATAATTCATTTAAAAAATAATTCAATTTCTAATCATTTTCTTCGTAATTATCAAGAAGTTTGTCCTTACTGATTTTGATAACCTTGCTGTAAAAATCATTATTCTAAATAACTATTTCCTTCCTTTCCGAATGCTAGTTTAGGGGAAAATCTTACATTTCCTTTTTCTTATTTCTTAGCGATCATGCATTCCCAATATAGATCGCAGACATAACTGTAGTGAACAGCTGTTGACATTACTTTACCCTCGAGATCATTTTTTGATATTAATTTTGACAATTGTGTACTTTTTGATCCTTTACCTTGTATCATTAAGTGGTACCCAATTAATTATATTCTATGAAGGAAGGGGAAATTTGTTCTTATTTCATGTAGTTATATAGTTTTATATGATGTCTTATAGTATTGTCGCGGAGTATATTTACAATTGTAGAGTATTAAGAAGCGGTGAAATACAACAGAAAATTTCGTTCTTGTATAGAATTTGTATGCCTAAGAAGGCCCAACACATGTAATCCATCCATAAGTAGTTGAAGGTCGATGTGACCCGTTATTGGCTGGATATTATCGAACTCTTTAATTATTAATAGTAGAATCATATTAATTAATCTTTTATATCATATATCATTACTACGATAACTCATGCAATATTACATTCATAAATTATTCACAATTCTTAGTAATTATACGCTTAATTACCAGTATTTCATTATTTAGTTTTCTAATTAAATAGATTATAAGATAATTATTGGAGAGAAGGAAGGGTTCTCCGGTATCCAGCCACAGGCCACAAGACCCCCGAAAATCAATGTTTTCCATTCGTAGAGCTAGTCAATTTAAAGTCTCAGTGTACAAAACTAAAGATAAATGTTTCGTACTCTGTCTGTCCCATGATCCTTTCCCTTTCTTCAATTTTTCCAATCATTGTCTGTAGTTAATAATCCTAATGGCTGGATTAACATATTATTGCATTCACTATGCATTCATGTTCATTTTTTAAAATAATAATAATTTAACTGTCGAAATATTATTGTGCGAGAAGAATTATCGATAATACATACTAAAACTGCTTCATAGAATTATGTTCAATATAATTATATATATAAAAAGAAAAAAATTTCAACAATCTCTATAACAAATCTATTGTTTAAAATACATGCTAGTATGTAGAAATATGTTTTCATTGCAGAAAAATTCATTTATCATGTCAAAGGAGTTTATTGTGAAATTAATTTTTCATACAAATTGATATTGAAGAAATAATCTTTAACGAAATTCACGTTTTTTTATTTAATTTATAATCTAATCATACATTTTAATAATTATGACCTACTAAAATTTGTACTTAATTCATTAAATAGATTCTCTCTTCTCGTAACATAATGTGCATCAAAAATACGAATAATCCAGTAGTCGTCAATTATTACCGATGATAGTTATTTAAAAAAAATATATATATATATATATTAATATTTATCATTTAAGTAATATTTACAGCATGAAAAATTAAAAAAAAAAAAGTCAATTGGTTTCCAAAACTGTAGCTGATTTGAGTGCCTATATACTTCATGTAAATATATGCATTCAATATTTTTCTGATCATAAAAAAATCCTTAGCTTATCATTCATAAAAGATGAAGAAAGATTGACGAGACAAAATGTATTTCGCTCTCACGAAATTTCATATCATAAAATGATATTTTTTCATAAATAAAATTTTCATAATAGAGAGAATCTCAATTACTATTGTATTCAATACCGATGCATAATGATTTCATGCATATTTACACATTCCCTATTTTGTTATCACTTTACACTTTTGTTTTTATTCACTATATTAAACAGAATTGTATATATGTAATGTACGAAAGCATATTCAAAGTTGTAACATTGTGTTCACTAGCCTTTCTGATATAAACTCTGTGCGAGGATAAATGCGCTAATTTATCAAAATACTTCGATTCAACATTTAGCCTTTAGAAAATAACTTCTAACGATACGTTTCATTTACTTATATTGTAATTAATGTAATGGTGATTAATGATATATAATATTATTACGCTTAGAAATACAGTATATATATATATATATATATATATATATATATATATACGCATACATATATATATATATAATTCGATAATATACCAAATATTTTAAATGTGCTTGGTAAATCCACTGTGATCATTATTCCTTATTTTCATTTTACTGTTTTCAAGGGACATTTCTTATTATTTAAAAAACTTATTTTACATTAGATATTAAAATAATGAAATACAGTCTCTTATATTTTTACTCACTAATATCCTCTTCATCGCTGAAATATGAATTCTCTTTATACCGTTTCCGTCTTACAACCGATTCAGTAAGTTCCTCGTCATATTGACCTGTTGCTACCTTATGCTTATATTTTTCTAGTTCTCTAAGATGTTGCTGTATCATAAAAAAAAGTATATTTGGTAATATTAAAATGTTGATATATTAAAAAAAACTAAACAGAACATTTGAGAAACTCTTATACCTCCTGTTTGATAGCCGCACTTAATGTTTCCATTTCAATTTCCGAACAGTTATCATCGGTATCATCATTATCAACATTCTTTGGTCTTTTGGACTTTCTTAAACCTTCATCGCTATCACTATCATAATAGCTAGTATCATGAGTAACTGTAGTTTTATTTTTCTTTCTGATTCTAACTTTCTTTGGCGGTGGATCCCTTGGCCCTAACATATTATGACTACATGCATAAGATAAATGTCCTTCCTCTCCGCATTCATAGCACTGTGACTTATCTGGATAATCTCTACGCCGTATAAATTCTGTACTGCGTCCATTATCAACTGCTATAGAACTTCTTACGGTACGACCACCTACCTAATAATAAAATTGTTACTTAATATTTTGACAAGTTATAAGTATATATTACCCAATTACAAATATTATACAATTGATGAAAATTTACCTGTGTATTATTAAGACCTTTTGCACATGAAGAAGCATCTTCTGGTTTTAAAAATAATACAAATGCAACCCCACGACTACGTCTTGTTATTTTATCTTTCATTACAGTTACTCTGTTAAGAATGTTAAAAGGTTAGGTTTTATTAAATTGTTACATATTGATATATCGTTAAGCATTAAATATAAGATTTAATTATATTGAAAACTTACTTCACTATCTTTCCATAACTCTGTAAAAGTTGATGTATATCATTATTTGTTAATGAAAATGGTAAATTTGATATATACACTGTAGATTTACTAGGCACTATTCCTCCGCTCATAATTTCAGTTTCTCATTTTTATCTTCAACAAAATTTATCTTAAAATCTTCTTTATATTTCTTGCTGTTTTTAATTTCAAAGTATAAATAAATATATTATTATTAACCATATTTTGAATCAATATAATGTGTTGATATAATTGAAAAAAAAATAGTAGTAAAGATGACACTTTATATCATAAATAAAGCGCCAAAATCTATAATTATAAAATTTCAATCTAGATGTCTCTGAATTCAGTTGGCGCCATTTTTGAATTTATGGTTTATATTGCATCTATTTCTTGTTTTCTTTTTTCATATTTATATAAATTTGTTCACTAACAATTCTACTTTAAATCTTTAATATTTTTACATCTTATATAAATTAAATAAATTTTTATTTAGGTTAAGGCTTTTTAAAGGCTTTCAAAAAATTACGTATTCAATGAATCTAATGTATCTAATGAAGCAAGCTTAAATGAAAAAATCAATTATATACTAAGAATTTATTATACATTGAATACAGAATGCAATTGTGATGTAAGTTATGTACTTTATACTTGCCTCAATGCATTTGTTGCATGTGATGCTGTTGACGTATTAGATGACGTTTAGATTTGACAACACTGGATACGATACAAGTGTTATCAGAATTTGTGGAATAGTGTAAGTGTTGTTGAGTGTGAGTCAGTACACAAAGCCAGTTTTTCAGTATGCTTCATTGAGTGCTACGCATCGAACGCACTAATAACGCATCAATAACGCACTTTTACTTAATAAAATTTTGACAGTTTCTACTTCTTTAGGAATTTTCTATCAGTTTTTATTCTTGATTTACAAGTATTAATCGAGTAAGTAAATAGATATTTATTAAGTTAATTATTTCCACGAATATATTGAAAATTGTCGATAAAATCTAATCAATTCAGAACTAGAATTTTTATCGTTGCATCTTTTTGTGAAATTTCGTAACGGATATACTCATTATTAACTTAAGTATAAAGAATATTTTTCTCCTTTGCATTACGTAAAAAAAAATTGATAATTAATACCAGGAAAAAATATGACTAGAAATTATATTATTAACGATTGCAACTCTAAATCTTATGTTATTCAATTCTATCAAATAATGTCTGATGTAGATGTAACAAACATATTGTTTTATAATATTGATGTAGTAATTTTTATGTAGTCAGTAATTTCTAATTCTTTTATGAAATTATTAAATTGCAGAACTATACAAAATGTCTCTCTATCCAACTCTCGAAGATATGAAGGTGGACCATATGATGAAAGTAAGAGAAAGATCTTTAACCTTTAGGAACTTGAACCTACTAATAATTAATATACTACGTATATTTTTATAGGCTCAAATGCAGGCGGAATCCCCATATTTTACTCCACAACCATTTGTATTACCTGAACCTATGGCACCTTCTGCTCCTGCTTTTGATCCTTCTCCATCTGGTCCTATATATCCTTCTTTAGGAGATTATATGGGCTTGGATCTAAGCAACAAGATGATTGAAAACAATGTCCCTGAATATACTGTTTCTACCAAAGCAAATGTAAGTTTTATTTATTTAAATATTTATAATGTGTTCCTATTTTCTATAATGTTTGCTTATAATTTTAGATGACAGTGAGTACACCTGCAGAAACACCTAGAGCAGTACCCAATATGGTTGCACCACTTTCTGGACAATCTTTGGGTCTCCAACGAGCACATGTTACAAATGGAATTAGAGAGGTAATATATATACATATCAATATTTATTGATGGTTTCAATAATTATGATTTTGTTTCAGCTAACATTATGTAAAGATAAAAATGGAAGAGTGGGCCTAAGAGTACATTCTGTAAATAATGGTATCTTTGTGTGTCTTGTGAGTCAAGAATCTCCAGCTGCACTTGCTGGGTTACGTTTTGGTGATCAAATTTTAAGTGTTAATGAAGAATGCGTAGCTGGGTATACAATGGATCAAGTGCATAAACTGTTTCGTAATGCTGATGTTAATGGCATTAAAGTTGTTGTTCGTGATAGGTTTGTTATAATACGCTATTATATGTTTTTTTTCGAATTGTGAAATGTATTATATTAATAATTTTATTACTAATGTATTTATTTTTAGACCATTTGAACGTACTGTTACTATGCACAAGGACAGTTCTGGTTGCATTGGATTTCAATTTAAAAATGGAAAGATAATTGCATTGGTAAAAGATACTTCAGCTGCACGAAATGGATTATTAATTGATCATCAAATACTAGAAATTAATGGCAAGGTATAATAACTTCCTATTTAAATTTCTCTCTCTCTCTATTTCTTATATTATAATTAGTAAAAATTATTTAACATATAATATCATTATATTATTTTTTAGAATGTGGTTGGATTAAAGGATAAACAAATAACAACAGAAATAGAAAATGGCGGAGATATTATAACAGTTACTGTAATTCCGTCATATATTTATGATCATATGGTTAAAAAGTAAGTAATTTATTTTGTTCTTAGATTGGAGATATTAAAGTATAATTGTTTCTTTTTTCAATCTTTTTTACAGGATGTCAAGTAGTTTATTAAAAACATTAATGGATCATTCTGTGCCAGATGTATGAAGAATTACAAGTTAAGATATCTACTTTTTGGTTACATACTATATTTTATAATGAGGAGCTACATATGCCAAGATAATCTTAATATGTTACTATTATAACATGTATGATAAGTATTTTATGTATATTTCATTATTGCACAAAATTTGATTGTTATAAAGTACTCATGCAGCACACATAATATATCAGTTCTTATCAAGATATGCATGATATATTGATCGAAATACAAAAAAAAAACAAAGAATAATTAACAGTGCACATAAAAATTTCTATGTTTTTACATCGTGTGATCATAGTATTTTAATTTAGCATATATGCACAATGTAAAAAAAATATCTTTTTTATTTGTATTTCGTTTCGTAACTGTTGATTAATTGGATTATTTTATTACGTATTTATTGTGTTTATATAATGTTTATGATGTGAAAAATATAATAGCAATAAAAATTGCTCTATATACATTTATATAATATTTGAAAATGTAAATGGTATATACATATATATAATGTATTCGTTTATGTCAATCAATAGTATTTTTCGATAGAAGGCTGTGTTATTCTACAGAAACAATATTCGTAGAAAAGATTTAAAAAACTAATAGTTTAAATTGGATTAGTGCTTAATATAATTACATATGTATATGCATATACAAAGATGCTCATGTTATTCTATTACTGTTGCATGAGAGACCCTAAATAATTAATAACTAATAATATCTACAGGAGAATATACATATTTTTTTTACAATACCTTTCTTTATTGCCAATGTTAGTATGGTGTTATTTCTATTATACATATATTTGTTAAATACACCAGATAGAAACATGCCATATATACAATGTATTAGGATATTGTTAATTCCCTCTGTGCCACATTTTATAATAGTTCTTTAAGAATTTCACAATTTAATTGCATATATACAAATAAAAATATATATAAACATTGTAAATGTTATCGTAAAAGGAAATAATAAATTGAATGATCAATTACTTAATTATTTAATTCTAACCTATAATTAATAATAGAGATTATTAACATAAATTATTAATAGAACCAAGAGAAGATTACGAGGATTTAAAATGAGAATAAATCGGATGTTATTTTCTTTTTTATTTCATTATTTCTGTCAGCTGATTCTACAATATTTGCGCGTGCGCATTTCTTGTTTTCAAAATGGCAGTAACAAGATGCATTGATACCTGTCATTTTGATTTCACAATCGCATACGTTACATATGACAAACTATATTGAATATATAATATTATATTATGATTTTGATGAATATTAGTTTTGAAGTACAGTTTTTCATAAAAACTCATTTTAATTAAATAAAAAGAACAATGTCAATGTTCGTTTAAGGTACTTAATATAAGTACCCTTATATACTGAGTGACACATAAATGCGCTCGGCTATTAGTGCTATTTTGTCGAGTCCAGTGCCCGACAATAAGATGTCTCACCCTGATTACGAGCAAACCGCTCATGATCACGCGGCACTGCTTTTACTTTTGAAACCGATTGGTACACAGATTAAACAAAAAACAGTTTCTAGATTATTTGAACGTATCATCAAGGCAGGGAGTAGATTTACTGTAAGAGACTCTTCTGGTAATACACGAGAAATACTTGCTCGATTTGTCAAAGATCATCCTGTAGAAAATAATGATTGGGGAGAATTCCAAACGCATAGAAGGCTTTTGGGCCTAATAACATTTGGCAAGTACGATAATCAAACAGAATTGAATGAACTGTGCAGACTTCATGAAACTTTAAAAGTAAAATACACTGCCACGTTGTATGATTCTCGGGCTATTTTATTTGGACCTGTTGAAACAAATAATCCTCGTGATCCACCAGAATCATTCAGCACTCCATCCAATTTTAAAACACAAGCTGTTTTTTATACAGATGAATCTTCTCCTGATCTTGAAACATATATCGTGGAATGTCTTCATTCATTATTCTGGATTTTAGAATCTAAAAGATTAGAACGATCTAGAGAGAAAATAGATCGTGTATCTCTTCTTTTAGCACCTTTTGAAAAAAAAGATTTCATAGGTTTAGATCTTGAATCTAGGAATAATAGAAAAAGATGCGTGGGACGTATGACAAAACATTTAGGAGATTTGTGCCTTCAAGCTGGGCTCCCAACAGATGCATTGAATCATTATAACTCAGCAGCTAATGTTTTACAAGCTGTTAATGACTGGCTGTGGCTAGGTGCAGCTTATGAAGGATTATGTGCTGCTTCTGTTTTAGTTTTGTATCCTAATATGTGCAGAAATCTTCCATTACAAAGAAATTCTTCTCTTCAAGAAGGAAGTCCAGGTAAGCAGAGGTATGTATAATTTACAATATTTCTATTTTTTATAATATTTAGTTAAATTATAAAAGTATTATATTTATATATTATATATTTTTAGACGAGGCTCTCAAGCTGTCGCTGTATTACCATCACCGCCTACTATTGATGTTGTAAAAACAAATATGCCACATATTTTATTACCTGAAGAAATATCTAAAAAATATCGTGAAGCAATTGTTCATTATAGTAAATATCAGTATGCAGGTATAATTGAAACAGAAGCTAGCTTTAAAGCAACAAGGATATCAATAGAACAGAATTGTACCTTGCAGGCAGCATCTTACTTAAACAATGTCATACTTATCAATTTAACTTTGAGTGAACAAGAAAAGGTATTAATAAATATTTTAATTACAAACTTGAAATTTATAATATAGACATTTTTAATCAAATAAATATATTATATTTATTTTAGATTGACCGTTTTACTACGTTATCAGATTTATATACAAGTTTTGGTTTTATAAGAAAAGCAGCATTTTGTTTACGATTAGCTGCTACCCGTCATGTTTCTCAAAATAATCCTAGTCCAGATTGGCAACAATGTTATAATTTAATGTTACAAGCTACTTCTGGTTTCAAATTGTCATTAGATCCTATTGATATGCCTGCAGGTAATAAATACATTAGACCAATGTATTTCTCCTTTTTTTTAAAAAACTATTTTTTAATTATAAATGTATTTTCTACGTAGATGGACATAGAGGTTGGCCTGTTATTCAAATACATGTTATAAACGAACTTGTTGCTGCTGCAAATCGTATGGGTAATCCGGCATTAGCTACAAGACATTTAACATTTTTACTTCAGACTATGTATAATCATTTATCGCCTACTGAACGTAAAGAAACTTCATTACAACTTCAAACTGTATCTCAGCAATGCGAAGGTGCTCCTGTTCCTCTCGTAAGTTTAACAAATATATTATGTATATAAATAAATTCTATAATAAAACTATATCTTTCATTTCTACTAGGTTTTAGACTCTGGAACAGTTATTCCACCGGCTAATTTAATAAATATCCCAAAGACGAAGTATTTTTCTCTGAAAAATTTGCAACCACATTTGCAGCCACAAAAAATTGAACGGGTCAAAGAAGATCATGGTCCATTTTTATTTACTCCTATTAACTTTGGTTCATTAGAACGTAAAACTATGTCCAAAAGTAAAATGGGTACAGTAATCCACAGCTTGTATTAAATGAATATTTTTAGAGGTCATTCATTAACTATACGGAGCTTATTATATTATAGATTACTTATGGGTCGAAGGAGATATCTGTGAAGTATCGATGCAATTTATAAATCCATTACCATTTGAATTACATGTGTCTAATATGAGACTTCTTACTAACGGTGTTGTATTTGAATCAATACCAGAAAGTATTACGCTTCCTGCTGAATCTGGACCTATAGCTGTTACCTTAGCTGGTAGACCAAAAGAAATTGGAGATTTAGAAATTCTTGGTTTCAGTACACATACATTAGGAGTTAAGTCTAATTGCAGATTAAGGCATATGGAAGGAATGATGCATCCTCAGTATACTGTTGAGGTCATTCCGGCTTTACCAAGACTAGATGTTGCTACAAGTTTACCTCAAACTGCAAGTTTCAGTTCCGGTGAAAATATTGTTACAAGTGCTAGTATATCATTATATGGAGGAGAAAGGTTAATTTTTTAAAAATATCTACAATGTTTTTTAATTAAAAGTATAATTTTATTTCATCTTTTTTAGTGCTGAATGTACTATAACAATAACAAATGTAGGCCAAGTTCCTATTGAAATGATAGAATTGTCAGTACAATCTACTTTAGATATTGTTACGGAAGGAAAAATATTTAAATGGAGTGATGAAAATTTAATGACCCAATTGCCCTTGCAACCTAATACTAGTGCAAGTCTTACATTATACTTATATGCTGCTACAGACTTTATTGCACCTGTATCTAGAAATGGTAATATTTATTCTACACATGTTATAAGAGGAAGAAATAAATTAGTTGTTAATTCATTTATGTATGTACTTTTCAGATATCAATAGCAATAGTTACCTCAGTCAACCAAGTAGTTTATTATCACATTCAGGACATAGTTCACTACCATCTAGATTAAGTTCTCCATCTCATCATACTAAAAGACAATCTGAACTGACTTCTTCCTTTAGATCGGGTTTGAGTTCTCACTCTGGTCATTCTTCTTTAGCAAGTTCACGATTGTCTAAACTTGCAGTGCCATTGCATAATTCAAATATTATTGAAGGGCAATTAAAAATAAAATATTCTGGTGGTGCTGGTTTAGCAGCAGGCTATTGTAGAATTTCGTCTGTTTTTATAACAGTTGAAATGTTACCAAGTATACATATTACAAATTGGGATGTATTACCGGCAGAAACGTAAGTAAAATAAATGATCATAAATATTGTACTTCTTTTTAATCAGTCAAATACTTCATTATAAAAAATAATGTATAGGTCATCACAATTTTATCTTGTGTTGGACGTTACAAATATGACAAATCATGAAATGGAGCTACATTATACTCAAAACAAGTGTATATATATGGAAGGCAAAGAACCGTGTAGAATACCTGTTCCAGTAGATAGATGCCCACTTAATAAATTATCTATGGTATATTATTTTTATATTAACTTATTTATTATTTGTTATTTATTTGATTAATCTTTTCTTTGTAGTTAAATGGGGGAGGAGATGTTGGAGAGCTTCAAAAAGTTTGTGCTGAGCATATTGCTTCTTTAGTAGATTTACATTGGCAATTATTAGGCACTGAATCTACTGGAAAAGCTACTCTCTCTGGTATTACTCTTACTCAAGATATGTTGGATCTTGTTAGAATGAGTCCTTTACAGTGGGGTATGTTTGAATGTTATCTCGTATAATTTACTTAAATCTAAAGAATACATTTGCATTGAACTGCTTTACAGAAGTAACGATAAATGATACAATGGTAAAAGCTCAAGATGAACTAACATGTAATTTGGGTGAATGTGTTAGCGTTGGAGTAGGTGTATGTAATGCATTAGAACACCCTCTTAGTGATCTTATATTATCAATTAATTTCTATCAAGATCATCATAATGGAGTTAATAATTATCAATTAGATACGAGATTATCCATCGCTGGTGCAAATAAAGTAATGCTTCCAGCTGTAAGTAAAGATTTGAAATACATATGTCATTAATTAATCTAATTTGTATGATATTTTTTATAAGAAAATTAATGAAAAAATATTTCTATATTAGTTGCAGGAATATGGAAGGGCATACCACGAGTGTCGAGTAGTATTTTTTACCGCTGGTCAGTATAAAATAGATATTCAATGCAGTAGCAAAGAAACCACACCAAATACTCCAACATTATGTTCAGAACTTATAAATGCTGGACATACGTGGCGTTACATACCGCCGATAGAAATAACTGTAGATGATTATTGAAATTCATTGTGCTATTGCTTGTATTGTAATATTTGTAAAAAATATCTTGAAGAAGACTTCTGCCTTGTTGTCAAGATCGAATACTTATGATTGAAAAAACTTTTACTTTCTTTAATAAAAAGACAAATTATGAAATCTGTCAAAATACTGTTATAAAAAATATTTTTTTAATAAAAATATATATTACTTCTTATATTTAATTCAATTTTAATCTTATATTTAATTCATTGTCTACAAAAGATTGATCAAATTGATTTTATTCTTCTAACATTATTTACTAATTTTAGCTTTTTTCCCTATAGGAATAATATCCATTTCATATAAATTTCTTCTAAATCTTTTATAAAATTGAAGTACAGTAGTATTAGCCCATACTTGTTGACTATTGAAATCTAAAATTCGTAATGATTGTAAACTTTGTGCCCGTGAAAGTGCAACATAAGATTGACCAGCATCAAAAACTCTAGAGAGGCACATTTCTACACAATCTAAAGTTAAACCTTGACTTTTATGTATAGAAAAAGCCCATGCCAATTTTAATGGGATTTGTTTTCTATATACTATACTACCCGATACAGTTTTTATAGACCATTTTTCGAGTTTAGTATGATAAATATTCCCTGACCTAAGCTGAATTACAGGTAAATCATCTACAAACTTAATAACTATTCCTCTAGCGCCATTCACTAAGCCAGTTGAAAGATTAATGTTTTTTAATAACATAACTTGAGCACCAACTTTTAAAATTAATTTGCCAGGCACTGGCAATTGTTGATCCAATGTTTTGGTCATCATTTGATCGGAATCTTGTGCTATGTAAGTTTTACTTTCTCCTTTTAATTCATTCAATTGAAAATCATTAATTTCATCAGCTTCATTTATATGAGTACATAGTCTTGTTGCCAAAACTCCATTACTTTCAATTTTTTGTTTAGCCGTTGCCTTAAGAGTATCGGAAATACTGTCTGTAACTCTTCCTATTCTAATATTATTTAAAATTTCTATAAACTCTGGATCTTTTTGTCTATGTACTATTCTTAATTCAAAATTAAAATGAACGCATTTTTCCCATGCCTCACTTTGAAAGCAGAATTTCACTTCTCCATCTCTTTTGGAGATAGGTGGTAATTGGAAAAAATCTCCGCACAGAATTAATTGTATACCACCGAAAGGTCTTTCAGTTTTACGTACATGTCTTGCGACTGCTTCTAATTTATCAAAAAAGTCTGCCTCTACCATAGAAATCTCATCGATAATTAAATGCTTTGTTTTTCTCCATACCGAGGCTGAATAAGGGCGGGAGGCTAATTGAAAAACTCTCTCTAAAGTTCCATTACCAAGTCCAATTCCTGCAAATTGATGTAAAGTAACTCCACCGATGTGACAAGCAGCAACACCTGTGCTGGCTGTAGCTATTGTTGCATCCGGTGGTAGGGCTGCTATTATTTTTTTCAATAAAAATGATTTACCAGTACCAGCACTACCAGTAAAGAATACATTTTTCCCACTAAGTACAGCATTTAAAACCCTACTTTGTTCTTCTGTCAGATCACCTATAGTTGGATTTTCATATAATTTCTTAGCAGCAGGTACCTTAGGTGAATTATCGCTCAAACGTTTTCTTTTTTTTACAGCACTAGGTGATGGAGTAGTCACCGTTGCACGAGACAAAGCAATTGCTCTTTCTTTAGCACTATTAACTTCTTTACTTGTTGCTGGACTTATTTCTTGAGCACCACTCAATGGTGTATTTGATAATAATCTTTCTTTCAATGGTCTATCTGAAGTTTTCTCAACTTGTCCCGTCATTTTAATAAATATCGTTTTCAAGAAATTTATCAATGAAGCTGATGGTGCATTGGATAAGAAGAGAGTACAATTTTCTTCTAGAAATTTAATAGATGCTTTACCCTCGTTCATAAATTTATTAAATACAGAAACTTTTTTTAACTTTAACTTGGTTTTAACATTTGCTTTATCAGCATGTATTTCTACTATCATATCTCGTAAATGATCACGAATCAAATGCAAAGAAGCAGATCTATGATTTATTCTTCGAATAATTGATCCATGTTTGTTAATCCACTCCACTATAACTGTACAAGATAATGCATTAGAATCTGAATCCATCACTTTTATTGTTTTTTAAACCTTTAGCTAAATTTAATAGAATTATTATATTGCATTAAGCTTTAAGGTTAATTATGATCTATATAACTATTTGTATATTAAAAAAAAAATTCAATCATTAATAGCTACTTTTAATATATTAAACTTGAGGAAACCCGCGCTTTTAAATATACAACATAGGAGAGAAAATATATACACGTAATAGATGGGTTTTAAAGTATATTTTACGTAATGTAATAACGGAAGTACTGCAACGACGTCTACCTAGTGTATTCAAAAGTCAGGAATTCAGATTGACCGCCAAATATTCAAATTATAATCCATGCAAGTGTATTGGAATTAAATTTATCCTAAAAAATAAATTAAAATGGAAATTCATTTTAACAAGTTTGGACTAACTTCTAGTACCTGTAAAAATATATAAATTATTTAAATAAATGTCTTAGATGTGCATTTTAATTATTTATTTCCTGAAATGATATAAAATGCATTAAACGATTACGAAAATAGCATTAAAACGATTCTTGACTGTTCAATGTTGTACCTGTAAAAATATAAAAATTTATTAAAAAACATTATAAAGTAATTAGTTTCTATAAAGGAAATGTATAGAAGGAATCAAGGAAAGGAATAAAAATATAATAATTGGAAAGTTTAAAGAAACTAATTACAATTATAATGTTTATGGGGTAAGCGGTCTTTGGCTAGATTTTACTTGCAATGGAATGTATATTATATAAAAATATGATAAACATTATATTGAAAGGAAAATACCATTTCTCGGGTCTAACCACGAGGAGGTAATCGCTTCTGAAGACCCAAGAGGGATGTGCATCCTAAAGATGCCCACATCCGAATATAATTCGGAGGAAAGAACCTAACTCTTAGGTTCCACCATAAGAGTACCACCATAAAAAATCCTTAGAATTATTATCGAGAATACCAGAGAAAAGTTTGAATACCCAAAAAAAACAAAATGCAAACGAGGAGTGCAACTCGAATAGAATATCAATAGAAACATGGATGTTAGTTGAAACTAACACACCCTAGAATAATTTCAATATATGCACATAAGGAAATTACAAGTTGGGAATATTTTATATTTAATAATTTTTAATCTACCTAGAAAATATTATAATAAAAATAAATATATGTGGGGTGTGAGAATGTGAATGAGAACACTTAAGCATGAGTGGGCCAGAGGGTACTTATCGGATATAGTTAGGCAAAGGATAAACTATGTAATATAAACAGCCAAATAACGATAGAAAGAGCGTCACCTGAGAAAGTAAATTAAAGAAAAGAAACCAAAAGTCAGTCATCGTTTAGTAGCCGAGCAAAGAAGGCGTTTTATCATCACTTTGTATTTTTACTTCTTTATATTAAATATATTGCATATCCGTGAAGAGAGGTTTTTCTTTCTACATCAACCTATTAAGGGGACGTTCTACTCTAAGCACCTAAAAAAAAGGCTATTTTCGCAAATTTTTTCCAAGAAAACTATAAAAGATACCGATACAAAAGTTGTTGGGTTTGTTAAATTGAGTCTTAAACTATATAAATGAATTTTTGTTTTTTCATTTTAATTAATTTTTTATTGCAAAAACAGTAGTT